TTTGGGACAATGTAAGATATTATCGAAAACCACCAGGACTTCACCAAAAGAAAACTTGCAGAAGCGTTTCAAACTGAGACACAAGCCCTCAATCAACAGAGACCAGGGATATCTCATCCCTTCTGCATACAATGAACTGATAAAAACAACAGATTAGAGCACTCCAGCTATCATTGCTAATTAATCTCATCAGCCATGTATATTTTGTTTTTGCCTCTAGGACCATTGGCTTCCTCCTATTGTCACTACATTATTACCACCGTGTCTTCTTCTTGTTGTTAATCCCCTTGATTCATACCTACATGTTGTTATTACTTAATCCCTGTTCATGTATATAAGTCTGTTCTGTGCTGAAGTACTTCACTCTTTGCTTGACAACAGTATAAGAATCCATACCGAAACGTCACATCATATATAATAAAAGTAGTTGTTATCCATAAACAATCTTACTTTTCACATGCTCTTTGAAACATGGAATGTGTTTTCCCAATACGCACAATACAATCTGGCTATCTGTTTGGCCCCTTTCTACATTGTATCCACAGTGCCATGCTCTGTACTTCAACTGGATATGTCCATGGTGGCCATATTGAAAATCAGAATTGAACCACTTGAACAAACTGAGGCTATAACAAGTATGTGGAAATGAATACCAGACAAACAGGCCATGACTTTCTGTCCAGTGAATGAAAACACATACAAGGCAGTTGGCCAGCTTGTATTACATCACCTGCTTTTGACCTTGTTCGAGTTCACTAGTATTCACAAAGCAGATCTGATATTTCTCCTTTGGTGGGCATTTTAGAAGTTGAGTTGATGACGAATGATCACAATTTTTATCGATATACAATTTCTTTTATTCTGTGAAGGGCGACGTTTCGACATAGATTCTAATGTCGTTGTCAACCAAGTGATCAGAATCTATGTCGAAACGTCGCCCTTCACAGAATAAAAGATGTTGTATATCCATAAAAATTGTCATCATTCTAGATCTGATATTGTCAAAAAACATATTTCACTGGAAATATATTTCCGTAATTGGTAACCATGAAATGATATACCCAGTATTAAATGATCCCATTTTATGACCTGAATAGATTTGAATATGACTAGAATGAGGACTTAGAAGTGTATAAATGCACAATGCCTTTTAAGAAACTGTTTAATTGTAACATGTAAGATTGAGGAGTGTGTACAACATTCAGCTCATAAAATCACACCCGAATATTCTCACTTCTAGCTCATTGTACTGAAACACATCCGGATACAGAATGAAAATATATCCAGTATAAATACTGCTTTATCTGCTTAATAGCCAATATATATCAGATATACAGAAGGATGTTATGTTGGCAAAAGGCATGTTCAGGTATGTACACACAACAATAGCTGATATGAACTGTACATGTCTTTAAAAAACCAAAAAAGACAACACATCTATAGTCTGTTTGCAGTGAAAACGTACCGATGAATTTCACTCTAAACAAAAAAGTAAATCGATTAAAGCGAAATTAAGATTGTATTACAAGGGGGTATGCACATTAGATGAAACACCGAGAACAAGTAGGGCTGATCTAAGTTAACGCTCTTCACGTACCGCACGTGCATTTGTTTCGCTGTTCCATCTACTGCGCTTACCCCATTGTAATACAAACCAATAATAGCGATTTGAATCTATGGTCGTTTGTTAAACAACTTTTATCCTAAGTTGAAAGAAATTCTGAGATTTAAATGTTCATTTGGCAAGGTAAAATTATGAGGATTCGCAATCTTTATTTCACTTAATTTGATTTACTTTTTGTGTGTAAAGTGAAATTCATCGGTACATTTCACTGCAAACAGACTAACATTTGTACATTTTTAACCAAAAATCAAGTTGTGTGATCCACTTAGACATGACATGAAAGCACGCTGACAGAACGATAGACAAGGCAAGCTGACCATTTAACTGGTTACATAAGACAAATACACAGGTAAATCATGGAGCTAACATGGTAATTGGGAGGTCAAGTCTTTCATCTTTACATATAAGATTAAACTTGGCCACATTCGGTTATCTTTGTAAAATAAATCATTCAGGAAAACCGTTCATATACAGGGCTGCAACAATATCCTGGGCTGAAGAAATTCATTGAACATACTGAACACTCTGTTCATATTACAATGAGACATTCATTGACTAGAGACCAACCAAACAACATATAGTAAATTATTTGACATTTTGATGAGTCAGTGAGTTGTAATCTCATGTATTTCAGTCAGAGATAAGAAAACAAAAATTTCATGAATACATCTATTAATAAAACAGATTTACAGTAAAACTTCAAGGACTTTTGAATTAGTTTACTATAGCTGAAACTGTAAACCATCATTTGAAGGATTTTCCACCACAATTCTATCAAACAAAAAGTTGTTATGAAGATAACAGTATACATCAGTCACTTGGTAATTTTCAAGTATACAGAACTACTTTGGCATGTGATAGCAATAATGCAGTGCATGTATGTTTTAAAACTGTTATCTATTGTACATATGTGTACAAATTAAAGACTACCAAAAACCACCTTTTGGCACATGGCATTAGTGAATCATTACAGCCCAAATCACAGAGGGAGGGAGTGAGTGAGTATGGTTTTACGCCGCTTGTAGCAATATTCCAGCAATATCACAGCGGGGGACACCAGAAATGGGCTTCCCACACTGTACCCATGTGGGGAATCAAACCCGGGTCTTCGGCGTGACGAGCAAACGCTTTAAGCACTAGGCTAACCCACCGCCCCTAAATCACAGAGTGAGTAACTGACTAAAGGAAGATGAGTGATTAGATGGAACCTGAAGGTCTCTGAAGCTTGAAGATTGCAACTGCAGTGTTCAACACCAACACTGGTCTACTGGTCTATTTTCTCAATGACAAGTAAAGTTAAATAAAGGTGGTCCAATGATATTTTGGGAAATGTTTGTAATTTAAATTGTGCAGTTTAAATCAGAGACAGATCTATGCTAAACAACAAGCCTGCATGATACAGTGGTTACCTTTTGGATTGGTTTCTTTGACTGATAATACACACTCACTTGCTCTTATGACAAATTGATCTGTTACATCATCTGGTAAAACGTTAAAAGCTGAACCGGAAGCTGGCAGGGGTAATGGAGGCGAAGAACGATTTGACATGTCATGAGTGGCGCTTAAAATGTTGAATTAAATATATTGTACGCGAGTAATTATTAAATATGAGGTTGGAAATCTGAGAGCACAACTCTGTGAGGACATGGGTGTCTACCTTTGATGATGGCGATATTTTAGTTTGATATTAAATATATTTTCGAACTGAAGCGAGGGAAGCACGTTGCCAACCTTTGCTCGCTTCGCTCACATATGGGAAGACTGGTCATTTTCTCTTTGTTGCGCAACCCTATTTGCGCTACAGTTTGCCTGTGGATGCAGAGGCAATCAGTTGTGAAACCTGGCAAAAAGCCAACAGTACTATTTCATGTTTAACATTGTACCAATAATTTAAGGATTAATGTCCAATAATGTCCCTTGTTGAAATTTTATACTATATTTAAAAATGTTTGGAAAAGCGGCCTATTTGTCCTTCTGTGGACAACGTAACACATTAGTGAGATCCTAATGATCAGGATGCTGACAATCACAATCCCCAGATGACAATCATTTCAACTGCTGTGTTAATTCACAAGGCACAAAACAGCCCTAAAAGGCCTTTCTTATTCAAGACAATAACTGAATCTAGTTGGTGATAAACCTATTGCCTTATAGGGGCCATTTTAAGCTGTTGTCTCCTGAGAGATACTGTCAGTGTGGGACAACATAATTGATCAATCTCAGAATTAACAACAGATAGCATAGGTCGCAGCAGCAAAGGAGAAAACAGAAAAATATAGTGCCTACGTTTACACACTTTAGTTAAACACATGACAATCGGCATATGGCAAATCAGGGACTCTGACATGGCTAGAGGATGGCCTGGGCAACTGAGTATATTACTTATTATTTGTGTTACAAGTGAAATCTTTGGTCGTTCTGGACCTCGACAGTTACAAAAACTAACGTACCAGTGTTTCATCCCAATTGTATTTGTAGCAATAGAAACTTCAGTTTCAGTTACAAAGCTATAGGATGTATATACCTTAACTACACAATATTGTTGTAGACCTTAAAAGCACACTATCACACCACACTTCTCTAAAAATCAATATTGTATTTCTCTCATTAATACTATCAGCCCCCAGCGAAGCTACCATATAATTTATTCCGAAAAAAAATTACGCAATAAGATTACAATATGAAATTAAACAGTTCGAATGAATTAATGCCACGTTGCATTAAATCGACTATCGTGCCCTCGGCCGACTGAACTTTATTTCAAGCAAACCCCTCAGTGTTAAGTTCCTTGGAACGCTCTTTATGAATATCCTATGACGCAACTTGTGATTGAGGCCAGTTCAGCAAACACCGACAACACCACGTGCGACAGTTTTCGATGTACGGAGCTTTGGTAACATTCCATATATGGCAAATGTTGTCTGTTTGGAAGCTGCTCGCCTCGAAGTTTCAATTATCGATTTCAGGCAAGTCATAAGGGATAATAGTGAGTGAGTGAGTATGGTTTTACACCACTTTAAGCAAAATTCCAGCAATATCATGGCGGGGGACACCAAAAATGGGCTTCACACGTACCCATGTGGGGAATCGAACCCGGGTCTTCGGTGTGACCAGCAAACACCTTAACCACTAGACTACCTCACAGCCCCCATATGGGATAACAAGTCTTTTATTGTATCAATAGGAAGCTAAAGTGAGTGCATTAGTCTGTCTCACAGTCCCTGAACCACATTAATTTCCCTACTGCCAAGCCCTCTCTGCAGTGCTAAAGCCCTAAATAAAGCAAGTCTAGATTTCCTCAGGTTCAATATAAATGGGCTTGTTTGTTACTATCAAAATTATATATATTCAGAGACTAAGCCTTAGTCTATGAGTGCATATGCCCCAATATATATACTATAGACCAAAATATTGTCGAAAAAGCGTGACATTGAGCCTTTAAATACCACCTGTTCAAAGACCAACAGATAGCAATTATCAAAATTTGTGGAATGATGACTTTTGAATATTTGTGGTATAAAATGATAACAGCTGGATATATGCATTCAATGACATCAGTAAAAACAAGTGATCATCAAGTTTAATCATCTCTTCTGCTGGCTAAGCCAAAGGAGAATGATCACAAACCAGACATTTTACACCTTTATAATTTTAAAATCTCCAACACAATACATTGTTTGAGCTGCCTTTCAACTGGTTGATGACATACATGTGTCAACTATTCACTGCACAAAATAATTACCTTAAACCACTTGGTTTACTTATTTTCTATAAAACTATTGTCTGTTAAATATTTATAAGCTCTTGAACTTTAATCAAATTATTGGTTTGCTGAAAAGAACACACTTCCTAAAGAAACAGATTTCTCAAATTTCATCAATAAATGACAGCTGAGATGAAAACAAGCATGAAAATTACTTAACACAAAAAAATCCCCAGAAAAGGATTGATTTATGATTTACTTGCTCACACAGGGTGTAATATACATAATGCTCTATATACATAGTATTCCATATATATAGTACTTCTTATACATAGTCCTCTTCGTACATAGTACTCCATATATATAGTACTTCTTATACATAGTCCTCTTCGTACATACTACTCCATATATATAGTACTTCTTATACATAGTCCTCTTCGTACATACTACTCCATATACACAGTACTCCATATAGATAGCAAACAGAACATGAGGGACAGTACATTCCTGCACACCGGCAGTAAGCACGGGGACAGCAGCACATCAGCTCCAGCTACACTTCCCTTGACCGTACTATTCTCCTAGCCATGGCATAATTTTCAGCAGCTTTTACAGCCAACAACAGGGGGCGCTTCTTGGCTGACATAAGGTCCTGGACCTGCAACAGAGGACATCATCAAGAATTCATCTGCAGAAAATATAGGTGCTGCATGAAAACAGTGAAACAGTATTCCAAAGGAAGGTCTGCTGTATGAGTGAGTTGGTTTTATCGCTTATCTCTATCTCAGCTTCACACATTGTACCCACGTGGAATACTGAAATTGGTTCTTTGGTGTGACAAGCGAGGGCTGTAACCCCTGGTGTGCAACTATGTGTGTGTGAACTAATAGCCACAAACTACAAACTATCTACAGTCCTGATGGGTATTATTCAGTAAATACTCATCTTGTCAGAAACAAGGGACAATACTTTGGAAAGGAGTTGGTTAAGGAACATGACCTCACTGTGATGTCTCATAGATGTCCCATGAATACTGTCCAACATGACTGCCACCCAAGTGTATATATATTTACTGTTATTGTCTGCTGTTTTCTCTTCTCCTAACATCATACACTGTGTCTAATTACTGTATCAACATCCACACTTACATTTCACACATGTTCCCCAAAAGATTCCAGTGATCTTTCCCACCTTTAGTTTTTGTTTTTATCATTTCAAAATTCTGTAATACAGTTTTCAGAAGCAGACCATTGAAGCTAATTGATAATGCGGAACAGGTCTTTAATAAGAGCCTAACTCTGGAAAAAAAAGAACACAAAATACAGCTGCCATTTTATTGAGAAATGTCTCTGGCAAAAGCAACAAACAGAATGAAATGGTATTGCAGCGGTAATATGGACCAATATTACATAACAGAATTAATATACATCTTCAGGGTCCCTTTCCATAAAGCGTTCATAACGTTACGACCTACACTTTATCATTGGCTTGCAAATGGCATAATGCTGTGAATGTTTTGTAGATCGGGCCCCAGGTCCACAGAAGAACTGGACACCTTGTATTGTCTGTGTGACTGTCCAGTTGACATACCTCATCAGATGTGGAAATATATGCTCCATTGCTGACATACCTCATCAGATGTGGCGATATATGCTCCACTGCTGACATACCTCATCAGATGTGGCGATATATGCTCCGCTGCTGACATACCTCATCAGATGTGGCGATATATGCTCCATTGCTGACATACCTCATCAGATGTGGCGATATATGCTCCGCTGCTGATATACCTCATCAGATGTGGCGATATATGCTCCATTGCTGACATACCTCATCAGATGTGGCGATATATGCTCCATTGCTGACATACCTCATCAGATGTGGCGATATATATTGCTCCCTCATACCTCATCAGATGTGGCGATATATGCTCCATTGCTGACATACCTCATCAGATGTGGCGATATATGCTCCATTGCTGACATACCTCATCAGATGTGGCGATATATGCTCCATTGCTGCTGACTATACATACCTCATCAGATGTGGCGATATATGCTCCACTGCTGACATACCTCATCAGATGTGGCGATATATGCTCCATTGCTGACATACCTCATCATCAGATGTGGCGATATATGCTCCATACCTCATCAGATGTGGCGATATATGCTTCGCTGCTGACATACCTCATCAGATGTGGTGATATATGCTCCGCTGCTGACATACCTCATCAGATGTGGCGATATATATCCATTGCTGACATACCTCATCAGATGCTCCATTGCTGACATACCTCATCAGATGTGGCGATATATGCTCTATTGCTGACATACCTCATCAGATGTGGCGATATGCTCCATTGCTGACATACCTCATCAGATGTGGCGATATATGCTCCGCTTGCTGACATACCTCATCAGATGTGGCGATATATGCTCCATTGCTGATACCTCATCAGCTGTGGCGATATATGCTCCATTGCTGACATACCTCATCAGATGTGGCGATATATGCTCCATTGCTGCATACCTCATCAGATGTGGCTATATGCTCGCTGCTGACATACCTCATCAGATGTGGCGATATATGCTCCATTGCTGACATACCTCATCAGATGTGGCGATATATGCTCCATGCTGACATACCTCATCTGCTGACATACCTCATCAGATGTGGCGATATATGCTCCACTGCTGACATACCTCATCAGATGTGGCGATATATGCTCCATTGCTGACATACCTCATCAGATGTGGCGATATATATATGCTCCATTGCTGACATACCTCATCAGATGTGGCATATATGATGTGCTGCGATATATGCTCCATTGCTGACATACCTCATCAGATGTGGCGATATATGCTCCATTGCTGACATACCTCATCAGATGTGGCGATATATGCTCCATTGCTGACATACCTCATCAGATGTGGCGATATATGCTCCATTGCTGACATACCTCATCAGATGTGGCGATATATGCTCCATTGCTGACATACATCAGATGTGGCATATATGCTCCGCTGCTGACATACCTCATCAGATGTGGCGATATATGCTCCGATTGCTGACATACCTCATCAGATGTGGCGATATATGCTCCACTGCTGACATACCTCATCAGATGTGGCGATATATGCTCCACTGCTGACATACCTCATCAGATGTGGCGATATATGCTCCATTGCTGACATACCTCATCAGATGTGGCGATATATGCTCCACTGCTGACATACCTCATCAGATGTGGCGATATATGCTCCGCTGCTGACATACCTCATCAGATGTGGCGATATATGCTGACATACCTCATCAGCTCCCGCTGCTGACATACCTCATCAGATGTGGCGATATATGCTCCATTGCTGACATACCTCATCAGATGTGGCGATATATGCTCCATTGCTGACATACCTCATCAGATGTGGCGATATATGCTCCATTGCTGACATACCTCATCAGATGTGGCGATATATGCTCCATTGCTGACATACCTCATCAGATGTGGCGATATATGCTCCATTGCTGACATACCTCATCAGATGTGGCAATATATGCTCCATTGCTGACCAGCCTCTGTCTCATGTCATCGATTCCGTGCAGACAAACACCACGACACCCGTCCTCGATCAGCACCGTCCTGAAGCCGTGCTCTAAAGCATGGAGAGCTGTGGAACCTGCAAACATGTAACAACACACAGTGATGTGAAACAGACCATATTCAGCTGTTGTTACATCTAGTCAAATGTGAAAACACCACACCACATCTACCACAATTCCAAAACCTCTTCCACGTCCATAAGCTATGTCACAACTAGGCCAGCATGGAGTTGTGAGCACATCTTCCACCCACCCGTATGTCTTGATCAGTGAGTGAGCGAATGGTCTGCAATATTCCAGTTATATAATGACATTATGTAAATGAATGCGTGACCAGGAGAACCAGCGATGAAAAACATGCTCAATGACCCTTGTCATCGAGGTATCATGACATGCTGTCAGCCAAGTCTTGCATTTAGTTTGCATGAGGGTGCTGCTTTGATGATATGGCATTCCCCAAATGGGTACAATGTGCGAAGCCCATTTCTGGTGTCCCCTGCCATGATGTTGCTGGAATATTGCTAAAAAGCAGCATAAAACTCTAACTCACTCACTCACAAGATACTGCAGAAATATTTTTACGGCAATATTACACTAGCTTAATACCACAAGATGTATGACATCATAATGGCTTTCAGTTATGACACCACGATGCTAATACCACTGTCACAATGGTATTAGACCTTGCTTGACTCTGAGAGACATCATACTGTAGGCAGTTTCTATAAATTTTTGTTGGAGAGTAACAAACAGAATACATGTACTAAACTCTCTTCCGTGAAATACCATTTTTCATGAAACTTGTGAAAGATTTAGTACCAAACTCGCTTTCGTTCATTTCATACCAAATTCCTAACTCATTTAATATTAAAGGTATTACATGGAAGGTCGTTTAGCATCCTCTATATAGCAGTAACAGCATCTTCAGCAATACTTCAGCTAATACATACCCACACACACATCGTAAGCAAGTCCACACACATACACATCAGTGACCTTGTGTTTGGCGAGGATGCTGACAAGCTTGGTCTGAGACAGCTTGTTGTTGTCCCAGAAAGCAGAGTAGCTGTCTACGTCAGGGTGGGTGCCCTTATGCACCAAATACGACTTGTCCAGCACCTTTGGTCACAAAACACTATAAGATTACTGTGGTGAACAAAGAGGTTTGTCCTGATGTGCAAGGTTTCATCATTATAGAAATAATTCATGACGATAACGCTATTTTCGAGTAGTTTCATGGGATATGCAGACATGTCTTTTATATTTCTATATTAAACATCTTAAAATTAACCTAGTGAACAGTTCATTATGATCATGACAACTGATTTCTATTTATCCGTTTGCTTTGTTTGTTTGTTTATTAAATGCCGCACTCAGCAATATTCCAGCTATATGGCGGCGATCTGTAAATAATAGAGTCTGGGCCAGACAATCCAGTGATCAACAGCATGATGTATGTATCCAGTACAAGGTGGATTCAAATTCTGAACTCTGTGTGTGGAATTTATTTCTTCCATATTATGTCATTGTCACTTGATTCTGTATGTGAATTTCAGGACCAGGAATCTGTGATAACATATATGAAAGTATTGATTTCCTAATTTTAACTGTGTGAAATGTATTTTTACCTCATCAGAATCACACTAATGATGAGTTGAGGATATTGATGGCTGGTGACGTACCTTGAGGTCAGGGTGAAACTCAGACCCGTGAGAGTCTTGAACACAGTGTCGCGGCCACATCATCTGCTCTGTGACCGGGGGCCCAGCAAACACCACAGTGTCTGTCACGGCAGCCTCACTGGCCGATACCTACAGTGAAAGATGTCAGTGAGTGAGTGAGTTAGTTGGGTTCAATACCATGATCCAATATAAGAAATATGAGTGCTAAGTTGGTTGGTTGGTTTGTTGTTTAACACCGCACTCATCAATATTCCAGCTATATGGCGGCGGTCTGTAATTAATTGAGTCTGGACCAGACAATCCAGTGATTAACATAATAAGCATCGATCTACGCCATTGGGATACAATGACATGTGTCAACTAAGTCAGCAAGCCTGACCACCGAATCCTGTTAGTCACCTCTTATGACAAGCATGGGTTGCTGAAGACCAATTCTAACCCAGATCTTCACAGGGTATCGGTGCTAAACTACAGACAGTGTGCTGAGATCAGCTTGTGGAAACTAGCTCATAGTCTATCTCACCTTGGAAGAGGAATGCAATGGTCTGCTGTTGATGTTGTCAATGAATGATATGTGGTTGGGTGGGTGCCAGTCCTTGGAGTAGGCGACCACGTCGGAGTTGACCTGTTCCTGGATGGAGTTGATGATGGGCACCACTGCGAACCCATCCTGACCCGCTGGACAGTCAGACAGTGCCAGGCTTCCATTGATGAAGTCATTCTGGACATCGATGATGAGCAGTGCCGTTACGGGGGACAGAATCTATCAACAGGATTAGAATAATAATTCCCAAACACACTACATGTAAAAAGGTTGTTCTAAGTGCTAATAAACGCAACTCATTATACTCTGTGAGGAAAACTGTCGGGGTAAGAGCTCATCATGCTAATTCCACTCATGGGTATCAAATTTATGTTTTCTTATGATAATCGATTCCCATCTGAACATTTGTTTCCTGTTGTGTCGACTGAAATATAAATGTATTGGGAGAGTGAGTTGGGTTATTTTCTGCTTTTAGCAATATTCGAGCAATATCATAGTAGGAGACACCAGGCATGGGCTTCACACATCATACGTACCAACGTACCATGTGAAGAATTGAACCCTAGCCATCAACGTAATGAGCGAAAGCTTTAACCACAAGGCTACACCACCGTCCAAATAAATATATTGTGTTTGACTGAAAAAATGACATATATATGCCTCTCTGAAAGGTTTCAAACTGAAATCAAGTCTGACATTATTATTCTCCATGCTGCAATTTGACCAAGAAAGTCTATAAAACAAAATTATTTAGTATCCTTGAATGTACAGAAAACCATTTTGATCAGTTTGTTATCATGGTATTTCAGCGAATTAAGTTTTGATTGTGTGAGCAATATGTTGAGGCAGCTTTCAGTGAGTGAGTGAGTGAGGAGTGAGTGAGTGAGTGAGTGAGTGAGTGAGTGAGTGACTGAGTGAGTGACTGAGTGAGTGACTGAGTGAGTGACTGAGTGAGTGAGTAGGAGTGAGTGAGTGAGTGAGTTGGGTTTTACGCCACTTATTATTCCAGCAATATTACGGTGGGGGACACCAGAAATGGGCATAACACAATGTGCCCATATGAGGAATTTAACCCGTGTCTTCAGTGTGACGAGCGAACACCTTAACCACTACCCCACTACTAGGGCTTCCACGGGTACTCGAGTACTCGAGGACGAGTCGGGTATGTCTGGACTCGAGTCCATTTTCAAGGACTCGAGGACTCGAAAAGGGGAGATAACTCGAATTATTAACGTTGACGGACTGTCTGCCATGTGCTAAGCATGAGCGGCCGTTAACGTCTAATATTAAGAAAAAGATATAACTTTATTATCCCAGAGGAAATTCTCATATATCCAAACTGTCTCAAAATGAATATATACACAATTCACAAAAATATACACAATAATTACATGCTCTAAACGAATGCTATTTACAAATAAAACTGACTGGTTACCACATAGGTAAAGAGGCTGAATAATTCTAGTTCTAATCACATGATGGTGATTCAAAATATTTGTTGCATTCACTTAATACTTGATGGTATGAAAGACTGACGAGCTCTGTTTTGAGGGAAGGTAATCGACAGCAGCGTCCAGAAGGAAGTAGTTCAAAATGGTGAGATCAAATATGTCAACTATCAAAACAAATTTTAGCTGCCTTTTTGACTATACTCGAAATACACTCTAGAAATTTTGCAAGCAGTATTAACAATTTTGAAAAGTCTGTTTTTGTTGCGATGAGACAGATCCCTATACCAACATAGAACATTGTAGGTCAACACACTTTGAATAAAGGTTTGATAAAACACCGTCATTACGGTTTTGTCAATGCCTTGACGATAATAATGTTTAGAATCAGAAATTAGGCCTGTAACAGTGGCGTCATCTGCAAATTTCACAGTAAACAAGTCATATATTGGCAAGTAACAGTCATTGGTATACAAAACAAAGAGTACGGATGAAGGAACACAGCCATGTGGATCTCCAGTAGAGGTTGAGAGAAAAGAAGATTGATAGCCATTGACATTGACATACTGAGTTCTATGTACCCTGAATTCTTTAACCCATCTGATAATGTTTTTATTAACACCTAGATTAAATAGTTTACTCCTCACACGGTGTGGCTGTATGGTATTAGTTGTTACAAGTCTGCAGATGAGAGTAAATATTATACATCGATTGAGATTTCACTTCTTAAAATGATTAGGTCGTTTGCTTGAAAGGTATGAATTTCGAGTACTCGGGTCCGAGTCGAGTCTCACCACTCGAGTACTCGAGTCCCCCAAAATGGACTCGTTGAAGCCCTACCCACTACCCTGCAGTTTTCAATAACAGGAGCCAGCAGACTATCAAGTGTCCAGGTACTACGATGTAGAGTCACTTTGATGAATAGGATGGTCAGCAGTGGTCAAAGTAGGCTAAAACCAGTGCTCTCATTTACATTGTTTAGAGTCATCAATGGGCTCTAATTACATTAATTACTCATAATTAGTTTTGTAACTGACTACAAAGAGGCTGAAACATTCCTGAGACCAACGGTCTCCACAGTGTTCATATCATTGACACACAGACAAACATGGTGGCCTTAGTCATTGGTCAGTACAAATGGCCTTCACTGCCTTTGACAAACATGACTTGTTAACATCCATCCATTTCAATTTCTGACTTATTCATGTACAGTACATGTTTCATTAAGCTATAGTGTAACAAGAGGATTAACATGCGTAATTCAATACGGATTTGTTGATTGTCTATTTCTAATGACTGATCATGATGAATTGATGTACGCTGATGACGATTTGGAGATTAACTTGCGCTTTCCGAAAAATGCGTATTTCGCAGACGGGCCCGCCAGGCCATTTAGTGTTTGATCGAAAGAGGGTTGATTTGACTGAAGGATATGGCAACCTAGGGGGTGTTGTTCAACTTATTGTTGCATAATAGAATTTGTATGAATTTTTAATGTGGAAATTTGCCATACCTCATAAAAGGGATGAACTATGGGATGGTTTGGTTGGTATTTGTTTTATTTGCTTTTATTTCTTGTCTTATATTATATTTTTATGCTAGCACTAGTTGGTTATGTGGGATTATAAGCAACATAAATGGCCAGGCCCCGAATTCTCAAAACAAACTGAAGTCTGAGTTTTGACTTAAGTTCGAATTTTTACTCAAATTTGAGAAAATGCATTTCCCATGTTGAACTAAAATCGATATTAAACTCAAACATAGCAGACAATTTGAGTTCGGTGAACAGAATACTTAAGTTGTTTGGGCTTTTTAATTTTAAGAATGCAGCTGAGTTAAAAATTCAGCTGTTTCAAATTGTCAAACTCATTGAGTAAAAACTTAAGCTTGTTTCGAGAAATTGGGGCCAGGTTTGATAAGAAATAGACTTTGAAGGTTTGGGTGTTATTTAGTGGGTTTAGTGTGTTTGTAGTGTTACTTGTGTGTTTGAGTCCAATGAACTCTGGAGCACCATTCTGTGTCATTAATTGGTAGAGCATGCAGGGTTGTAGGATGTGTTCATGTATTTCTGTTTCATTGCAATGTGTGCATTTTTGTATGCTGGTTGTCTATTCAGCTGATGTACTGATACCATTTTGATACCAATTTTGAGGGTCAACATAAGACCTTCGCTTATCCATGAGGTTGATTTATCTAAAGTCATATGCAGTATCTTGACAAAAGATGGATCTATTAAATTCAGTAGAATCAAATAAAATCAGTTTTTTCACATGATATCAGATATCAACAAGAGATTACAAATGTAGTTAATATGTTGATGAAAGAAAAACTTAGGGAGTTACAGGAAACAAGTACAGGAAATTGTAATTTGTATTTCCCCTTACAGTAAGCAGAGATGCTGTGATCAGCTGATCAATATTGCCATGCAAGTTTCTCATATAATAAACCAGAACCACAGAACCAGCAGTCACATCAACATGTTTCATCTCCGCTCTCATATCCTTCATATGATTCAGTAAACATTTTGTAAGCCTACATCATTAGTAATTATTGATCTTCACTGATCTTAAACCCGTGAAGGTCCAGGTTAGAATTGATCTTCAGTAACCCAAGCTTGTCATAAGAGGCGACTAACGGGATCGGGTGGTCAGGCTCGCTGGCTTGGTTGACACATGTCATCGGTTCCCAATTGCGCAGATCGATGTTCATGCCATTGATCTCTTGATTGTCTGGTCCAGACTTGATTATTTGCAGACTGCCGCCATATAGCTGGAATATTGCTGAGTGCGCCATAAAACTAAACTCACTCACTCACTCACTCATTGATCTTAATGTGACAAAGACAAAGCAGTTGATCCACCATTACTGAACACAACTGAACTTCCCTGCCATGTTACAAAGGTTAAGCCACACACTAGTGGTATGTCATGTGTTATTTCACCTGTGGAACATTGTTTTCAGAGGTGTTTACTATAAGAGGGATTACACACGATAAGTAGAGACTGTCATGTAAACATTGGGACTTAGTACTGGCAGATGTAATGATTACTTGAACACAGTTAACAGTTGGTGGGGGATGCTGACTAGGGTTGGGTATTGCCAAAATGTTCATATTGCGATATATTGTGATATGTGTCGGCGTATTGCAATATGTATTGCAATATATTGTGACAGTGTAACATATGGTTAAGGTAATGAAATTATTGTTTCTGAAACAATGACACTGGCCACTGTCAGAACTCAGATGTCGTGATTGTACAAGAGATCAATTGAAAATGTTTCCAATTGAAGAATTCACTTTAAAGGTTTGAACTGGAGAAAAAGTGTCTTTCACCCATCCCTAATGCTGACTAGAGCAGGGTACTTGAGATGGCAAATATGGTACATAAAAATTCTGACACTTGTTTCATAAAATCAGTGTGACAATAATAGCACACAAGCAATAACTCCTATTCTTTAATTTTTATTTACTCATTTGTTTATAAGCATTTGTTTTAACAGAACCAATGAAAAAGCAATTCATCTCAGTAATACTCAAAGATTCATTCTGTTACAGTCTCAATATATTTTGGGCTTCTATATATACTCATCACAAAGGGTGGTTTCAGCTACAGGCAACACACGAGTACAATACACATGTGATGCTGACAGTTCAACAGGGCCGAAGATGACTTCATCCTTCCCGAGGAATAACAACTGACTTTTGAACTCAAGTCTATATATCCTTGTAATGTGAGGTGGAGAAGGAAGAGAGTTTTCAATTGTCATGTTTAGCATGGTTAATTATACCTCTACTTGAAAACTAGCTCTACGGTATGTTTATCTCTCCATTATTCAAACATCACAATTCTAATAGCATCGTCTCCTTCATTTAAAGGGTGGTGGGGTAGCCTAGTGGTTAAAACATTCGCCTGTCACACCGAAGACCAGGGTTCAATTCCGTACATGGATACAATGTGTGAAGCCCATTTCTGGTGTCCCCTGCCATGATATTGCTGGAATATTGCTAAAAGTGGTGTAAAACCTTCATTCAATCACTCATTTAAACATACAGTAGAAACCTGATCAGTAAAATTTCAAGGGACTCGCCAAAATTGTTTACTTATCAGTTATTTTACTTATCCAAACTTATAAAAACCTGCAAATGACAGCCATAGGCATGTATATGTATGCATATGTAACAATGGACAACTTATCAGGGCTGGCCTCCAGTTGTCAGTGTATTGTCAACTGCTTGACGCCAGCGAGCTGTAAGTAGGATGTTTGTTTGACTGGAGACTGACACGACTGCCCCTCATGTCGGATTATGTGGTGATCACTAATTTAGTTATCCAGTCTCTTTTGTTAAGTAATTTACTTCCAGGGACCGTGAGACGACGTTTAGTTAAGCGGTATTGTTTACTTATCAGAGTTTAGTTAACTGGACTCTAATAGTGATAATTAATGAAGAAATTTGCCGGGACCAAAGAAAAGTGTTTACTTATCAGGTCTGTTTAGTTAAGCGGTCTTTATTTAGGCACGTGTCCACTGTATGTGCTGAAACGAAGTAAGAGACTGTCATCCTCCTTTTTGGTACACCACATGCAGTACAGTAAGCTGGACACCATTAAATGTTTAGTGTGTGAATGCCAGTGTTTCATTACTGCAATATATGTTTTCTTTCTGTTTATTGCAAAGGGTGACAAATGGCTACAATATCTAGCCTTCATTTATGAATATTCTATGTATTATATTTTATGTGAAGATCCCAGCCTAACTTACTGCTACCAGCATACAGCTGGATACTTGGGAGTTCTTAGTGAGTGAGTTAAGTTGTACGCCGCTTTTAGCAATATTCCAGCAATATCACCAGGGGGGCACCAGAAATGGGCTTCACACATTGTACCCATGTGGGGAATCGAACCCGGGTCTTTGGCGTGACGAGCGAACACTTTAACCACTAGGCTATCCCACCCTCCCCAGTATTTTCTTAAAGTGGATGACAAGACGAGCGGCATACTGAGGCCTATTGGTGAAGGGCTGTCACTAGTTCTGGTACGATTGTTTCAATAATCACTTGTATTAGCAATTATCGATGGGCTCCAGAGACTAATTGATATTCACAAAAAATGAAACTTCATATTTAAGTTTGGAAAGAATGTTTTTTTAATGTTACCTCTTAAACAAACATGGTGGCAAACATAGCATGCGACTCCGAGTTTGAAATTGTGAAAAATAGTTTCTTGCCTGTTATTAAAATAGATTGAAACTACTTCAACTTGTTGTTATTTCATATAAGCAATACATTCACTTTGGAAATGACTTCAAATGAGACAATTCATGGAATAAAATAACTATTGAAATAGTATTGCAAAAGTTATTTGCACTAGACTATCGCTATTGCGATAGTTGTTTTCCACTCAATAGTCACCCCTAGTTAATTATTACAACTGATTATTGATTGACTCTTGAGCTCCAATTATTGATCTACGTATTGTGAGCACTAGGTGCTAGTTGTCACTCACATATACACATGTTGCGGGCGAAGGGTCTTGGCTGACAAGAATAACAGTTTTGCGGCAAGGGATAACATGTGAGCTGTTTGACCACATATAAACACCAAACTAAAGATACAAATGTCAAGAAAACATATTCTGGTTTGCCATGCGCATGGAATATGTAAACAAGCATGAACAGTGCAATACAACAAGTAACAGGTGTGCCAAGCTACAGGGGAATGTGTTATCATAGGCATTGAGAACGAGTTTGAAAGCGAGACTGAAATCCCATTCATCTGTGTTGTGTTGATCCGTGTTGTTACTAAGGGATAAATAACACCATTGACTGAAAAAAACAGTATGCCCCAGTTCAAGCACCCTATTCAAAAAGGCACACCCTACTTTTGTACAGAGCTGCATGGAATCATTTTAAGCACGCTGTAACTTGACTTTAAAAAATACAACACAACCTGCATTGTGTTGTGCACAGAAGCCCACACACAGTAATAAGGGTGTCTCTCCAATAAGCTCACCATGATCAACTTCTACATAAATTGGTATGTATTCTTTGTAAACCCAGGTAAAGAAACCTTTAAAAATTTCCCTCTAGACCACAGGACCAGTGAGTGGACCTGTCTGTACTTCAATGGTCAAAAATAACATTCGTAGATTTACTTAACTATCAATACAAAATTCACTGGCCACCAGGACCACTGCAAACTTATCATTTAGAGGTCCTGAAGAATTTGTACTAGCCAGGGACCACAGGACCAGCGTAAATTTTGGACACTGTAAACCCATCGCACCACAAAAGTTTAGATATAGTAAATAGCACCTACTTAAAGTTATACAAAATGTCTCAGCTTCAAGATGTTTTTAATTAAGTCTGTTCACTCTTTTTCAGCCTCTCATAACCCATTTAACTTGTGTATGGTTTTAAAAAGGACAACCCCTTTTCTAAGTACTTACGTCACTTATTCAGTGTTCATTCCAGCATTTCTAAAACGTCCATGGCCCACTAGCCTTCAGTTATGCGGGTCATTTAGAAAATATTGTGGGTCATATCAAAATTCTGCGACATTTTAGCCATACACTATTAGTTACTAGTATGAGTTCACTTACTTTTTGAAACTTTCAATCCAGGTGAGGTCAACAAGAGAAACAAAGACATACTTGAGTTTTGCTTGAGTTACCAAGCGAATACAAACTTTTGATGCATTTCAGATTTATAGTTATGGATGCGCTGACATGATCCGCCCATACCTGTAAGTCCCCATGTTAAATATTAGTGTGCGAATGGCACAAGGGCGTGGCCTAGAATGAACACTGCTTATTATGACAAATATGGTACCACATACACAGCTGTATAAGGGGGAAGAATATTATCTACAGTCCATCATTGATTTGAAGTAAAGTGGTTTCAGGTTGACTGTCTTACTTCTCAACACACTAATGTGCTATCCCCAGGGGCATTTCATATAACTTTTGGGAGATGGGGTAGTCTTGTGGTTAAAGCGTTCGCTCATCACACAGACGACCTGGGTTCAATTCCACATATGAGTACATTGTGTGAAGCCTATTTCTGTTGTCCCCCAGAGTGATATTGCTGGAATATTGCTTAAAGCGACATAAAACCAAACTCACTCACTAACTCATGTAACTTCTTTCAAATCTTGATATTTATGATAACAAAATTGGAGTTTAGTCAAGCATTGCTAGCTTAAAATAATCCTCTGCGCAATGTATCACAGATACATCAAATGAGATTGCTAATCACAGGAACTACCTCTGAAGCTGTAAATCACCTGAACTAGTAACCATAGTAACCTTTTATCACAAAAAGTTCCCTAATTTACAGTGATAAAACTTTATACCTGTTGTGCGTTCTGTGGACATAAAGAATAAGTGTCAGTCACCAATAAGTGGGCTCGGTGGGAGAGCTGGCTAAGGCGCAAGGCTAGTGATCCAGCGAGGTTGAGGTGTCGGGATCGAGCCCACCTGTGACCGGGTGTAAAAACCTTGGAGTCAACTTTGTGTGCAGACTCTTTCAGTGTTGTCACAATCCCTAGTGTACAGTACACAACCCTTTGCACTTAGAAGAACCCACGAATCCGTTGGTATTTGACCAGATGGTGGCCACATGAATACGTGCAAACACCTAGTTGCGGGTACAGCAACGTGCAGTGAACATGGACAAAGTAGTGTGACTATGTGTCCCAGTCCACCCAGCTGTGAATGGATACTTCGTTACCATGAGAAAGACACAATAACTCGGTGTGCCTAGTGGCTGCAAGAGTTGTATACTCCCCAGGGAGTTGAGATTGATAATGCGATGTGCCGTTGAGATTGACATCCAATGATCGAGGGAAAAAATACCAGCGCCTTGAGCATGCACTAGTGTGTGGATATGTGCGCTATATAAATATCCTATAATATAAATATCCTATAATAAATAAACAATATTTTGTCCATCTCCAGTGTTAACGTTAAACTGTGGACAGAGCCGACTGTAGTGTGTCAGCATCACTGTTCCTGCATCACCTACCTGTTTCAGCCAGTAGTACCAAGCCATATCCCACTCCGGCTCATCCAATTTGCCATCCTGAAAACATATATACAACATTAAAGCCAGACCTTAAATCATATCCTATCATAGTGTAAATCAGTGTTTTATGGTTGGGTTGTGTTTGGTTGAAGTTTAATGAGCACTCAGTAATATTCCAGCTATTTAGCAGCGGCCCGTAAATAATCGAGTCTGGACCAGACAATCCAGTGATCAACAACATGAGCATCATTCTACACAATTGGGATACGATGACGTGTGTCAGCCAAGTCAGCGAGCCTGACCACCCGACCCTGTTAGTCGCCTCTTACATCAAGCATGGGTTACTGAAGATCAATTCTAACCCAGATCTACATGGGTTCATTTTCTCTGTATAACTAAACTATTTTAAATTCTAAACATTTTATGCAATATCCTTATGCTTAAACTATAATAGTTTAGGTACAACTATACTACACATGGGTGCAGGGCAAACTCTATCCCTCAAAGAAAGAGCAGTGTGAAGCTATAACATGATTCAATACACAGGTTCCATACATAGGGCAACAATTTCAAGTCTGGCAAGTCTACAAACATGACAAATGGCCGTGGGCAAACACAATACATGTACTTAAACACTGTCTGCTGACTTGCACCCTTGCTGACTAATTAGGACAATTGACAATATTCAGACTTGAGGGACAATGGGGCAACCAAAGGTCATACTGATCCCAGCATGAATGTTTCATAATCAGGTGCTTGTCAAACTGTGTCACAGATGTCAGCCTGGCTACCTCAGCAACAAAACATTACAGACCCATACATAATAGGATATCGCAAACCCAGAACAAATATACACAAGTCTATTTTGTCTGTTTCTCTGACTGAAAGTTTTGTGAATTAGTATCTCAACCTGCAATTTTACTGAATCCAGTGATGATGAAAGTTCAGCATATTCGGTAATGGTCGCCTTAGAAGTCAATATGATAGTGTTCCTTCACGAACAACAAGAACTATTCGGCAGTTGAAGCTTGTCCTTACACAAGCAACACAGGAGGGTTAACACTCTCTAGGTTGCCTTTAGGTGAAGAGATATCTTCCAAAGGCAGCAATTCTCTGCCCAACCGATGATGAGTGAGTGAGTGAGTTTAGTTTTACACCGCTTTTAGCAATATTCCAGCAATATCAAGGAAGGGGACACCAGACTGACTGACTGAGTTTGGTTTTACGCCGCTTTTAGCAATATTCCAGCAACATCACGGCAGGGGACACCAGAAATGGGCTTCACACATTGTACCCATGTGGGGATTTGAACCCGGGTCTTCGGTGTGACCAGCAAACACCTTAACCTAGGTAGTGTAGATGTAAGAGATGCCTAGATTTTCGAAGCTCTCTTAGGGCTAAGATAGTCCTAAGTGCCATACATTAACATTAACTTACGACTATCTTAGCGCTAGGAGAGCTTCGAAAATCTAGGCCCAGGTAAAGAAGACACCAACTAGTTAGTACAGTATTAGTAGAGGTGTCACGATACGGAAATGTCATGATACGATACGTATCGCGATATCTTTGAACGATACCATTCGATGCATATCATTATATGCTATCTTTAGTTACTTTCTTTAAAAAAGTATATTTTGAAAGCAAGTAGCAGTGTACATTTTTTACATAACCATCAATTTCTAGTGAATATTAACAATCTTAAGGTCAACGATTCATATCACGATACGAACAAAAGTATTGACATATTTATTGTCAGATAAAGTATCATGATTATCGATACTGCGATATATCGTCACAGCTCTACTAATTAGTACACAGGAAGGATCACCAATGACAATAGGTCGATGATCCAGGAAGGATCAACAAATATGGGGCAACACTGAGGGGTAGGATGCTGCTACTAAAGATCCCCAGGTACCAGTCAGAGTGAGTGAGTGAGTTTAGTTTTACGCCACTTTTAGCAATATTCCAGCAATATCATGACGGGGACACCAGAAATGGGCTTCACACAGTGTACCCATGTGGGGAATCGAACCCAGGTCTTCGGCGTGACGAGCAAACGCTTTAACCACTAGGCTACCCCACCGCCCGGTAGCAGTCAGAAGGATTGACAATGTAGGCAGGGTTAATGGCTGTTCAAACGAGGAAAGATCGGCTGTGGCAGGATTATAGACATGAACATTTACAATCTACTATTGAAGGCACTAGTGGTGTTCCAATGATCGAAAATAGTCGAAAATCGATCGAAAGAACGATTAAAAATAATTATCGATTGAAAAAACATATTTTCGATTAATCTGAATTTTGTTGTTTTAGTATAACACACGTGAATGAAGTAAACTAACCATTAAATTTGACGAATATTCATGAACAAACTTGCGTTCAACAGCATAAAGCTAAGTACATTGTATTCATAGTTTCGTATTCATCACTACGATAAATATTACTGTAACCTGTCTATGAATACATTTTGCATCTGTTGTGAACGTAATGAGATATACTAATAAATATGCGTTTAATAAATAAACAGAATAATTACATTAACATTAATTAGAACAAAAACTGGGGAAAGCCCTTAAAATTGGTGATTACATTAAAAATGTAAATATTTCGATTATAATCGATAATCGTTCACCACAAATCCTGCCACAATCGATAGTGGATTTGGTTTCGGATTCCCAACACTAGAAGGCACATTCCAACAGAAGATGAAGTGATTGTAGAATACACAGATAAAAAGTCAATCAGACCCATTTTTCACATAAACATGGCAAAAGCATGGAAGTCTGTGTGGTATGTAATCTGCCTTTAAGTTCAAATTGATGTTAACAGCTGGTAGTTTGATAAGAGTGTGTAAGTGAGTTTAGTTTACGCCGCACTCAGCAATATTCCAGCTATATGGCGGCGGTCTGTAAATAATGGTCTGGACCAGACAATCCAGTGATCAACAGCATGAGCATTGATCTACACAACTGGATATGATGACATGTGTCAATCAAGCCTGACCACCCGATCCCGTTAGTCGCCTCTTACAACAAGCATGGGTTACTGAAGATCAATTCTAACTTGATCTTCACGGGTCAGTGTGATAAGAACTAAAAACCTGATTGATTTGTTCAAATCAGGGTCAGAAGTTCTCTTGAAAAAAGAGGCAGTAGGGTAGCCTCATGGTTAGTGCATTCGCTAATCACGCGGAAGACCCTGGTTCGATCCCCAAGTGGGTACAATGCATCAAGCCCATTTCTTCAGTGCTGTGATACTGCAGGAATATTGGTAAAAGCGACATAAAACTAAAAACTAACTCACTGTTGATATGATAATCCATCTTGTACATTGTTAGTTATCAGTAATTTTTTTATTGGATTGTGTTTTATTCATACAAACCTTTTTTATATCAATGAGTTGAAATATCTTCAATATGCTGTCTCTCCTGGATTTTGCATTTGTATCTGAACAGTCGAAATTCTCCTCAACAAAACAGCAGAACTGCTCGAAAGAAAGATATCCTTCCCTGTGAGAAAGAAATTCAAATTAGTGACTGATGTATAATATGGACAGAATTGGGATATATATGTTCATACATTTATATAAGCAAGCAATGTTTCATTGATTGTTAAAGTTACCCAGAGGAATATCAAACTGATCAGAGAAATGATTAATTGCTCTTTGCTGGAAGCATAAAAAAAATTAGCTTGTCAATTGCCTTCATGGTTAATCACGTTCATAACTATTACCTAACTGCCTTATGGTCAGACTCGGTGACTGGGTTAATTGCATGGATCAATGTTCATGATGTCAATAACTTGATTGTCTGGTCTGAAATTGATTAGGCCAGACCAACTTTATTTCTTGTTTTACAGATTTTTTTACTCAAAAAACCTAAAGGCAGGAGGGAAATAATTTTAATAAATAAATAAATGCTAAAAGTATTTTACTTTTGGCAATTTATAAAGTGTATATGGGGCAAAACACAATCTAAAAAAAAACTTTCTTGTAAATTTACATTTTTGACCAATAAAACACCCAAAACATTAGGATTTTATTTTTTGAGGGGGGAAAATTAACTTTTATTTTTTTTCTTATTCTTGGAAAATTACAACCGGCAGATCCGTAAAACAAGAAATAAAATTGGTCTGGCCTTATTTACAGATGTCATAAAGCTGGGAGAGAACTGAAAGATGTGTTAACAGCTAACAAACATAATGGACAGTTTCTTGACATACTGCAACTCACATGATCTATTACATCAATACATGGTATTTGGTAAAATGAATCAGCCCATGATATACTGTGATACATATACTGTCTTAACAAATTTAAGTTGATGGATTGGCCAGTGCCCATTTCCACGATTGTAGCACTACGACTGACTAAAGGTCACATGCAACCCAAAAATCAAACATAATTAAAACACAGTTATCACTTATTCATGACATATAATATACATTGCTGGTTACGAATATATATATATATAAACAAAATTATAAGCGTACAATCGCAAATCGAAAGTGCAAAATTGTGTACTTCGGTTTAATTCCCAAGAAACGAAGCAGACGGAATACCGAACCCAGTCAGAGCAGCTGGGTGTGCAATCAAGTGTAACGGCTGGTTCATTTGCAGATGCCTTCACGGCTAATTGTGTGTATATATATAGAGAGAGATGTTTGGTTTGTAAATACATGCTCATTTTTTGTGTAGAACATTTTGCAATCAACAGACATCATAACATGTCATGTGTTCAAGTATCACACCTGCCTGTCTGTGTTATTACATAATGTGACAGAGACCGAACTCGGGCCATAAATCAATAGATTTTGTTTATGGTGTATAGCCTGATTGGTGTTAAGTTCAAATTGCATGTGGTCAGTGATAGCAGCTGTGTATTGAATATTGTCATTAGCAGACAGGCAGGCAGACACACAGGTGTCAATAAAACAAGACATTGAGTTTTGTCTGTGACAACGACATATCTATATCACACTTAGAAATTCTGTCAACGCTAAATAATGACATTGCTTTTAAGTATCGAACTGAGAAAGTGTCTCGGTAAGAAGAACGTGTGGTGAAATAGACAAATGAAATTATATAAACAGTTTATTTACTGTCATAACATATAAAAAGTTCGCGCCTGTGAGATATCAACAAAACATTAGAAAAATAGCTCACACCAAAGCCTTCACCGAGTATTCACCCGGACAACCGGCTTCAAGCTGCGAACCTATTTACTTGCGCACGTGCTATGAGCGCAGCCCAGCTGTTGAAACCCGTTTTCCCAAGAAAAGTCTCGGGGAAAATTAGTGAAACGTTTGAACTCCGATTTCGCGCGGTTTTTTTCATCGCGTTATTTTTCAACTTTATAAGTTGAATTTGCATTCTTGACGATTTGTTTCAGTATGTCCATACCGAAAAGTATCAGAATCTGCAAAGTTGTGTTTTACGTTGCATGTGACCTTTATGTTAAAGTGTCCATATTGTCATCTTAGCATTACTGTTACTTTAGAAGACTGACATTTTAAGTTATTTTATTCATAACTTAAAAAAACATATTTATCTCAGTAACAAAACAAGTCCAAATGCAGCCTGAAGAATAATCCTTCATTTCCTAGAGCTGAGCTGAGGTGAAATGGGGTTTAATGTCACACTTTTTCGCTCATATGATAATGTGCATGCGTGTGTATGTGTGGCTGCTTGTACTAGCCCAGACTTAAGCTGATTTTACAGTGCCAGCTCACTGAGAGACTATATTTTAGTGTCTTTTTTGGTATGTGTCTTTTCAGGTATGACACGGCCGGAGATCGAACCTTACAGTACCGACCTTCCGCCATCTCAGGGCGAGGGTTAGGGGTCTTTAGGGTAAGGGTAACTACACTACGAAGGCAGTCTCCTATAGCAGTGGCAATTTAGACTTGGCAAATAATTCTACACATTTTAGAATGAGACTCCTATACATAGTAAATTCTCCAGGGTCGGGAGACAGATTATAACAGGGCCCTGAGCTGATATGAAATACTAGTACACAGTGTCATGGCTAACACAACAGTTTGAAACGCCTTGCGTACACAATGGTTTACACCATGCCAGTTGTTGCAGGTTGTACAGTCCAATAACCACAACGCTACAAGAGAGGTACGGACGGCTTATATATACCAACAAACTATTGTGCCAACTAACGAATTGTCAAAATGACCTTTTCAGTTCCAGAAAATTTTACTTACCCATTTTGATCGTATTTTTGGAAAACTGTGGATATGACTTCTTTGTCTCTTGTGTATGCATTTTTTAGATAAAACTGGAGGGAATCCATCTGTGCAGTACTAACCGCCTACTGACTGGAACGCTATAAATACACTCCTCATCTATGTCATTAGGAACATCGTGACGGTTTGTTTACACCGGAAGTGAATGTTCACGTGACAGGAAGTAGTGATTGTGGTGCGTTGCGCCACTTTCGTTTTAAAATTCTCAGAAGTCGGTCCACATAACTTGGATAGCTTCTTTTCAAGAACAAAAACTACCGTTTGTAGTTTGTTTTGCAATATTGTAATTTAAATATGATGTTGTCATTTCCTGCGAGTAGAGGGTGATAGGTAAGCCATTTCTCCATCAGGATCTAGTGTTCGGCTGTATTCGTTTTTGTTTTTAGTTTGTCAGCTTGCCTCTTGAGGAATGTCTCCGTGGTTGTTTGGTCTGTGGAAGGAAACTAGGAAATGTTTCTCTAGTCATGGCTTTGACAACACTTTATTTATAATTTTAAACATCTTAACATCTGCCTACCCATGTCCGACCTGAGAACCCTATAAAATAACTGAAGTTCACCATGTTTGTTGCAAATCGAATTTGATTATTAGCACAAGACCGATGAACTCAGAACTCTTAGTCTCAGTGGGTGACAGTGATTTCGTAGACAAAACCAGTTCGTAGACGCGGTGAATTCGTAACCAAAACCGGTTCGTAGACGGTGAATTCGTAGACGTGTATAAATAATGGAATATATAGTTTGAATTGTACTTAGATGTTACTGAGAATGTTTATAACGAAGTTGTTATGCTTTTTTTTCAGTGATACGAAACTAGGCGCAGCTGAAGGGCAGCTCCAGGAAATTATGAATGAATATTTTCCCGTATGCTTTGTTTTCAGTGATACGAAACTAAGGACAGTTGAATGAAGAGTCAACGAATATTTTCCCGTCTCTTGTCTACACTTGTTTTTAATGTATTTTTATATATCGGGTTTGTGTTGTATTTTTTATTTTCAGTGATACGAAAATATTGTTACTATGTGACTGTATGTGTAATAAAGATGAAGCGTCGTAAAATGTAAAAAGACAGTAATAGTAACTGTTGTTACCTGGAAATCGTCCCATAATCTAAAAGATTTATCCGCCTTGGCACACTGGCCAGCATGCTTATATACCACAAGTGTGTGTACAGGTAAACTTTGTCGGCGGATTAGACAAAATTAGTCTACTCATCATAATTTCCCGACCATTATGTGGATTAACTGGTTTCACTGAGTTGTTGTGAATGTTAATTAGGAAGTGGTGAGTTGTTTTGATTGCGAAGTACTCTGTGTGGGAGATGTAAGTGTTTTCCTAAGATGTGTTTTCTGCTACTTCTCTGACGATACTTACCTAATACATTTCTTTTAATTGTACACAACTTTTAATTTTACACAACTGAATTTAATATATTAAATTTGTCTGAATTTGTGACCACGGTGAAGCATATTTGGTTTTTTTATTATTTATGGATATTTTCACCACCGATCATACTTACCTGATATATTTTATTTATTTCACAAAATGAAAACACCTTTCGTCGATTTTCTTCATCATTGAGGGTGAACTATTCCCATTTTAATAACGTCTACGAATTCACCGCTCAATCCGTCTACGAATCCACCGGATTTTGACGTCTACGAACCGGTTTTGGTTACGAATTCACCTACACCCGTCTCAGTAGAGCAATCGTCTTTTTGTCAGTGCAAGATGAAAAAGTGCATTGCCCTGGTGTTTTCAAGTAGAACAGAATGGCCTTTGTATAATCACTGCACACAACTAACACGGTTAACTAATTTAGCAGCAACAAATCCTTCTTAAGCTGCATGGAGGGTGGAGTCTGCTAATGCCTACAGTGAATAATGCCTACAGTGTTAAATAAACAACTTTACGCACCAGTGCTGCTGATTGCACCTGCCTTCAACCTTTTAATTAAGTGGCATGGTCCTATTCCAAAGTGCACTTATGCCTACAGTATATAGAAAACAGTAACTTTCTATGTTGAGAGACATTTTATTTGGTCATTCATATACATATGTACATTCATATACATATCTTTCACATTGTTGTCATATTTTTCTTAATTTTCTTAAACTTTATTCATATCTTTCACATAGTAGATTGTTTTGAGATAAATAAATTTACATAAATAAACATAATCATTTATTTGGATTAAAATGTAATTAAAACTTAATTTGATTCATGATTATATATACATATATACATCTTTCACACAGTCAACTACCACATTCATTAATAAAGTCATTGTGGTAACCAAAAGTAATTTACATGTATACACACAGTTTCACACATTCATCAACATAGTCATTTGGTTTTCAAGCTAGCTTGATCAAGTATCCTGCAGCAGTCAGGAATTCCAGGGGTGTCTTGATACCAGATGTCAGCTGGGCCTTCAGACGAGAGTAGAAGGTGCCGTCCATGTAGAGGGTGTCCACTTATTGCAGGAGGGTCAGGCAGTCACTTGTGGCGAAGCAGAGAATCTTGTCATCATCACCGTCATCAATGCAGAGGAAGGGCAGTCCATCTGTAGTCTCCTTGAAGAAGTCGGGTAGATTCACCTCGCTGAGCGTCTGGGGAAGTGGCGGCATCATCTTCCGTCTCTGCTTGTCGAGTCCACACTTCATAGAATGGAACGACTTGACTGTTGCTGCTTCACCTCGGTCAAGTCGGGAAATCTCCTCATCGCAGATCACCTGAACTGGCGTCGTCTCAGTCTGTACCCGCTGCCTCAGGGAACTGGCAATCTTCAGGGCTACCTGGTCTTCTTGTGGGTGGTTGTGTGGGGTCTGATTCCGAACAAACTGTCTGACTGTCAAACACTTGCCAAAGCAGCCACCTTGAACACACTTCCAGTGTACACCGTCGTCTGTAGCCTGTTGTTGAGTCTGTAGCGGTATCCCTCAAGAGTACCTGCTGTCCTCCTTTCTGTGATGTGAAGTATTCGACTTTCTTGGGATTTGCCATGATTTGCAATGAAGATTTGTATCACAAGCATTTTAAAAGCAATACATTTCCTTCTCCTTTAATAATCTCTCAATTAATTACTCTATTCTCCAATTTTAAAGCAATACATTTCCTTCTCCCTTTAATAATCTCTCTATTAATTACTTTACTCTTCAATTTCCTTCTCGTGTGAGAACTAAATGCGTATGGAATTATCAAAACATACGCTAGATAACGATTTAATACTCTTGATCTTACTCTTTACTCTCCTTGCTGGCCTCCCCTAATCCATTGTAGGCAATAGTGCACACTAAGTGGAACAATCTACTTGTGTGCAGGTAAGCGTATCGCTGTCACTGCAAACGTTGTAGCTATTATTCCCTGTAGGCATTATTCACTGTAGGCATTAGTAGACCTAACCGCATGGAGTTATCAGATATTCAGTGGAACAAATGAAGAGTGCAGTTATCACAGGTTACACAACTTCCATTGCATTCAAATACAATTTGGAATCAATGAAACAATGCAGCAAATGTCAGTCAAGTTATTTATTTATCTGTCTCCTAATGGGAAGTAATAACATACAGTCAGAAACATTTGGGGCCGTTTTAGCCAATTTGGGACCGATTCTGCCGTGGGGCACTCTCTCATCCACTGATTTGTTGTCATTTGGAAAAATGATCCCAGCAACAAAGATGGGGTTCTTCCTACTCCCCTTGATCACTGTTAGTCACAGGTTAAAATACCTGGGAGTTTCTCTTGCGCTTCTTCCTCAAAAATTGCCATTTCCCCTTCCAGGAAATTTTTACATTCATTAAGTCGAAAGCTATTGTCTCTTCAATATTTGCATAACTATTTTGCCATCTCACCAATACTGCAATGTTGTGCCTATCTATGAGACATCCATGTGTCATTTGTTTGATGTTTGATACATTTTAGTTCTATTTCTCCATTTTTATTTGTGAAGATTTTTATCCATTTTACATCATGTACATAACTAGATATCTGTTTCAGGTAAGTCTAGCAGTAGCTGCAAACATGGCCCGAGCAGACTCATCTCTGTCAAAAAATGTAGAACAGGAGCTGACATGTGCAGTGTGCTGCGAGTTGTACTCATGCCCACTCCTGTTGCAATGCAGTCACTCCTTCTGCAAAAAGTGCATCCAGGATCTGGTGAGAAATGAAGATTACTACTCAAGTTACCCCGTCAAGTTCAAGTGCCCTGTGTGCCGGGCCCCCAGTAGATCAGGTATTGGCAGCCTGCCTGAAAATTTAGCATTATCCAATTTGGTGACTGTCCTGAAGACAGATGAGGGGAGAAATGTTTTGACAGCAGTACAGCCGATTCCAACACTGAACTCAACAGAATGTTGGAAACATCCAAACAACGATCTCGATCAGTACTGCGTTTACTGCTTGAAGGCTTTCTGTGCTGTCTGCCCTAAACTGAAGTGTGATACTGAGAAACACTGGTTGGAGAAACACTGGTTGAAGCCTCTTGATGCTCATTGGAAGACTACATGGGTATGGATAGTTTGGTTTTGGCTCTTGTTAAGTGTCTTTATATCATATACAGTCAAATCCCGATGAGTCGAATGCCAGGTGTCTCAATATTATGCATAACTCAGAGTACCTGTCGGTCCCGACCATTCCCTGTTATAGTTGTCATCATTTGATTTCCGGTTACACGAATTCGTCTCATAAATACACACGATGACTCGAGAAGGATCTTTGGTCCCATGAGATTCAAACAACAGCAATCTTGTATACATAAGCCGAAGTCAGTCAATGAGAAGTTGATTGGTGTAGCAAACCGATCCAATTAACAAACCAGCTCGGCTCACACCTTTCCGCCATTGACGAGTGAGTTCAAAAGGCAGATTAGTGAAGAAGAAGAAGAAGAAGAAAATGTTTCTATTTTTGTGTCACATGTTATATATAAAACATACATAAACTTTAAAACATTCAATAAAATATAACATCCGGCCATATGGCCTATGAGACACTAGGCACTATATTATATCTAAAACAGATAGTAGTAAATAAAATATCACAGCTTTGTAAGCAACAATGGAGTGTGGAATATATATTTAATTACATGACTACAAACTGTTTTTACAAATGGTTACCGAAAAGAAAGAGTGTTATAATTTGTGTTTAACATGTTGTACCTTAAAGATTCTTTAAAAACTTGTGGTTATTTAATACCGGCGATTAAAAGTTGCCAAAAATTAAGCCTGCTTCCCTCTAAGCCATAGCGAAACCACAGACAGGTTCACGTAACTCTGTCGCCAAACACTGCAGTGGCGTCATATGAGGAACGATTTCCAGTTAGTTGTATAGAAAATGTGTAGCTTAGCTCATCATTTGATGATTTCTCGACATCAACGACGACATGCCGAATCGTTGCTTTGTCGTCAATTGCTCCTAGGGAATTAGGCGATGGTGTCCCCATGCACAGATTTCCACAGGACCCCGCAGTTCGTGCTAAATGGGTTATGTTTGTGAGTGCGAAGCGAGCGTTGTGGAAGCCTGAAACGATATCTTACTTGTGTTCAGATCGCTTCACGGAAGTCAAAGAATCAAAACTACTTACTAGTTGTAGTAAAATATGCATATGATTGATGACCATAAAGATTTTCTATGACACAACTTGTAACTTGTCGGGTAATTTAAGTGTGTTACCACTAATTATACCTGTTATAAATTCATTAACTGACCATCAAGTGAATGATGACAAATAACGTGTAGGTTTATACCACCTAACACGGGTTACAACAAGGGAGTATTAATTGCTGTATTGCATGTGAAAACTTATGGGCCGACACTGTTTTGAGAATGCAAACAGATTGTCACGGAAGTTAAAGAATCAAAACTACTTACTAGTTGTAGTAAAATATGCATATGATTGATGACCATAAAGATTTTCTATGACACAACTTGTAACATAACGATTTCTTCCTCGGAAGTGAGGTTGTGGTCGAAGTAACAATAATATTGTAAGTAGTATTATATTGACACCCACCTCGCTGCCACGAGTGAAATTGTTATGTTATACGCTTTGTCATGCAAAATCCTATTGGCCATCAATAAAATACATATTTTACTACCAGTAGAAAGTAGTTTTGATTTTGTAACTCGGTGGAAACAAACCTGTATACCATTTTATCCTCAGACTGGCGGATGTTCCCGACAGGCGCCGCCATTTTAAAAAATAAATAAAAATCTGTTAGAATTAATGAGATTATAGTTTGTTTTCATCAAGTTAGAAAATCAAGACTACTTTCTACTCAGTTAAATATGTATTGGAATCATAACCAAACGGATTTTGCATGACACAAACTTATAACATAACGATTTCCACGAGGCGCAGGTGGGGTCGGGAAGTCACAATACTGCGCCGATAAACTTCTTGCTACATTCCATGGTTAATGTCCACTCACCAGTATGTAGATACTAGTCAATGTGCGTCTTTATATTTGGTCTTATAATCCTAATTAGTTTATTATCATACTTGTATGCATTTTGAAACTAAATAAAAAGCAGACGATCTGCTGATACTTATAGTGAATTTATAACAGAACTGTAATATCTAGACATTTTATAGTTTGCCAATGTGAATCATAATTACTTTACACACACCCTAGTGCATGTTGTCTGTCTCATTACACTTCATCGCGAAAACAATGATTATGTTGAATGCTTTGACGACAAATGAATAAAAACAAAATGCATGCAAATATTAAAATTAAAACAGATTAAAGTTATAGGAACAATATCAGGCCATTACCTTGTTAGGAATGTATCCATCAATATCCACAAAACTGTTCCAAATGATCTGTCTTTTAACAGTTTAATATCACGAAAAAGTGATAAATCTTTTCAGGTATTGGTGTATAGTCTCATTGGTCACCAGGGATAGCCACAGATGGCACACCTGGCAACTAATTACATAATGTCCTACTTTCTTTAAAACAGAAATTTAGTTAGCCAATAATGGGCAATCAATCAATGTATTGCCGGTTAATCCTTTGAAGAAGGGCGTTGTTTTACATGAGACACCCACACAGAGTGTATTCAGTATAGATTAGTAAATCTACATACATAAACACTTTACCTTTGACAATTCGTGTAAGATAAAAGTAATTAATCAATCAGCGTGTTATCGGTTAATCCTTTGATCGATGTTTATAATGTTGAATATTTACTCCAGACACATAAGAAATGCAAAATGGAAACCTTTGTCGGATAATAATCTAAGTGTGTTACCACTAATTATACCTGTTATAAATTCATTAACTGACCATCAAGTGAATGATGACAAATAACATGTGTAGGTTTATACCACCTAACACGGGTTACAACAAAGAGTATTAATTGCTGTATTGCATGTGAAAACTTATGGGCCGACACTGTTTGAGAATACAAACACATTTTTACATGACATGATTAAATATCGAGGTAGAAAAACACAGAAATGGGATCAATTTGGATCAGTCATTATACAAATAGGGCCTAACGACATAATCCTGTCGATTTTGACAGAATCGCCTATGAAAACAAGTTGTAACTTCGAAACTAGGCAGCAGCAGGAGACAAAAATTAAATGACAGTAGATTGGAGATCATATAGCTTTCATTTTTCCACAACAATTGTCAATCGATTTCAGGTTTATGCAAGCCTGTAAACAAGATAATTTTAACCCCTAAAATGTAGATGAATTCTGCACGGGCCCTCCAAGCTATTCCTCATATGATCGTCAGAGTCGCTACCTGCGCTCTGATTGGTTGAAATTCTCGTCACGTGGTGAGAATTGTGCACTGTTGTCAAAAATGTCGATTTAAGTCAATTAAAGGTCGAAATGAGTAGTTTTAATGACGGGGTTTCATTTATAACGATGCGAGTTAGTGATTTATGTATTTTTACCCCCTAGGGTTTATGTGACCTTTAAGACCCTCAATATAACATCTGGCCTGTGAGACACAAGCCACTACATTCTACCTAAAACAGAATAGAATATCACAATTCTGTAAGCAACAGTGGAGTGTGGTATATTTAATTACATGACTACAAAGTGCGTTTACGATTAGTGATTTTACGGAAATCACTGTCTGTGCTAATCAGACTGGAACTGATAAGGTGCCCCTATTAGTGATATGGAAATCATTAGATAAACAAATGCTTAGGTGGAGGAATTAGGACTTGATCATCTTCTTTTCTACCCTCATAGACATACCTATGTCTCGAATACATCGATAAGTCGAATTTATTACTTGGTCCCCAGCGATTCGACTCATCGGGATTTGACTGTATATGTATGTATGGTGATGGACAAGTTGCAATTAATGCAGGTTTTACAGTGCTCACCCACTTAGACACCATCTTGCAATTTTAATGTGATACCCCACTGAGACACGGAATACTGCCCCAGAGCCTTCTAGTCCTAATTTATCACCCTAATCATTTGTTAATGTGGTGTGTTTACTGTTACATGGAGTAACAACAAGCACCATCTTGCAATTCTTTTGGTAAACCACAGGGACTTCACCTTTCACTTTAGAATTGACTTTCAGCAACTTATGATTGTTGTAATAGGTGACTAACAGGATCAGGTGGTCTGGCTTGCTTATTGTAGCATCACGCTGACGACCCAGGTTCAAATCTCCACATAGGCACAATGTGTGAAGCCCATTTATGGTGTGCTCCATCATGATATTGCTGGAATATTGCTAAACGCATTGAAACCCAACTAAAACCCAACTCACTCACTTATTGTAGCAGGTGACAAACAGGATCAGGTGGTCTGGCTTGCTTATTGTAACAGGTGACTAGCAGGATCAGGTGGTCTGGCTTGCTTATTGTAATAGGTGACTAGCAGTATCAGGTGGTCTGGCTTGCTTATTGTAATAGGTGACTAGCAGTATCAGGTGGTCTGGCTTGCTTATTGTAATAGGTGACTAGCAGTATCAGGTGGTCTGGCTTGCTTATTGTAACAGGTGACTAGCAGTATCAGGTGGTCTGGCTTGCTTATTGTAACAGGTGACTAGCAGTATCAGGTGGTCTGGCTTGCTTATTGTAACAGGTGACTAGCAGGATCAGGTGGTCTGGCTTGCTTATTGTAACAGGTGACTAGCAGTATCAGGTGGTCTGGCTTTGCTTATTGTAACAGGTGGCGGTATCAGGTGGTCTGGCTTGCTTATTGTAACAGGTGACTAGCAGTATCAGGTGGTCTGGCTTTGCTTATTGTAACAGGTGACTAGCAGTATCAGGTGGTCTGGCTTGCTTATTGTAACAGGTGACTAGCAGTATCAGGTGGTCTGGCTTGGTTATTGTAATAGGTGACTAGCAGGTATCAGGTGGTCTGGCTTGCTTATTGTAACAGGTGACTAGCAGGTATCAGGTGGTCTGGCTTGCTTATTGTAACAGGTGACTAGCAGTAATTAGGTGGTCTGGCTGGCTTATTGTATCAGCAGTATCAGTGGTCTGGCTTGCTTATTGTAACAGGTGACTAACAGGATCAGGTGGTCTGGCTTGCTTATTGTAATAGGTGACTAGCAGCATCAGGTGGTCTGCTTGCTTATTGTAATAGGTGACTAGCAGCATCAGGTGGTCTGGCTTGGTTATTGTAATAGGTGACCAGCAGTATCAGGTGGTCTGGCTTGCTTATTGTAACAGGTGACTAGCAGTATCAGGTGGTCTGGCTTGCTTATTGTAACAGGTGACTAGCGGTATCAGGTGGTCTGGCTTGCTTATTGTAACAGGTGACTGCAGTATCAGGTGGTCTGGCTTGGCTATTGTAACAGGTGAGTAGCAGTATCAGGTGGTCTGGCTTTGCTTATTGTAACAGGTGACTAGCAGTATCAGGTGGTCTGGCTTGCTTATATTGTAACAGGTGACTAGCAGGTATCAGGTGCAGGTGGTCTGGCTTGCTTATTGTAACAGGTGGCTAACAGGATCAGGTGGTCTGGCTTGCTTATTGTAATAGGTTACTAGCAGTATCAGGTGGTCTGGCTTGCTTATTGTAACAGGTGACTAGCAGTATCAGGTGGTCTGGCTTGCTTATTGTAACAGGTGGCTAACAGGATCAGGTGGTCTGGCTTGCTTATTTCATGGGTATTGATGCATGTTATCCAGACCTGTTGACTATTGCAATGTTTACAGACCACATCATATAGCTGCAATATTGCTGAGTTAGATATTAAACAACATGAAGCAAAATCTGATACCAAATGAACCTTGCTAAAAATACAGCCAAATATCACTGATAGACTCAGGCTCATTAGATTACCACCTCTTTCTTGTAATTATAAATGTTGATACGAATAATCATTATAATAGTATAATTCGTTAATTTGAAGACAATTTGTTTGCAGGAAAGTCTCACAGCATTGTCAGGTGAAGTGGGTGATCGCATGTCATCTCTGAGTGACAGGGTGCAGCTCCTGGACGATCAACTGGCAGCAGTGGATGTGAGTCGGTAGTTGATTACTATGCATGATGAATAAATAGCATTACTTAACAATTTTTAGGTAGCGAAAATCCTAGTTTCTCACAATGCCATATGTAACACTGTAGTTGCAAAGGCAAGTGTATGCTGTGTTATCAGTCTTTGACTGGACCCATGAAGATCCGGGTTAGAATTGATCTTCAGTAACCCATGCTTGTCGTTGGAGGCAACTAAGGGGATCGGGTGGTCAGGCTCACTGACTTTGTTGACACATGTCATCGTATCCCAATTGCGTGGATCGATGCTTGTGTTGCTGATCACCTGATTGTCTGGTTCAGGCCCGATTATTTACAGACCGCAACCATATAGCTGGAATATTACTGAGTGCAGCGTTAAACAACAAACCAACAAACCAACATCGTGTATTCTGTTTGTAAAGTGAACTTAGTTTTCTGTTCGAACTGACCATTGCTGATAGCTAATCTCACAGTGTGTCATTTGCCCTTTGATGTTTTTATGCCTAACAGTACTAATTCCCTGGAAAAACATGGTGTCCACATTGGAGTTGAACTGTTACATGGCTAACACTGATCCAATTCTATCAGCAATATTTTTAACTTTTTCACTTGGAAGTTATTTCTACAGTACAATTTAATTTTCTGTAGTTATGTTGTAAATGAGCCTCCCGTAACTGCTGGTATGTGTTGTAAATGTGGCATATAATCTCTGATTTCCATTCTAGAATCAGATGGATGAAGTGTAAATCATTGGTCTGTCATGTTCTTATTATACCTGTCTTGGCCCCAACTTATTACGTCCTGCCATTAACATAGTACACTTCCTCACTCCCCTGCTTATGTTCCATAAGGGGCAGTGCGGTAGCCTAGTGGTTAAAACATTTGCTCGTCATGTTGAAAACCTGGGTTCGATTCCCTACATGGATACATTGTGTGAAGAAAATGTTTGGTGTCTCCCACCATGATATTGCTGGAATATTGCTAAAAGCAGCAAAAACTAACTTCACTCCCTATATTCCATAAACCACTCCTACCAAATGATGTCATAGTATGTGATTATCCTGATGTATAGTTCAATAGCCATTGTGGCAAATGTGTGTGATGTTGGTTTTTTTTTTTGTTTCTCAGAGGGAAGAGGACACTGACAAAAGTGAACTGACAGCTGAGATTGAGGTACTGAAGAGCATCCTGATGTCCCGACTGACCACGTTGAACACAGATCTCCACAGTGAGGTTCAGGACGTCAAGTACCCATTGACGCATGATCGACAGAAGTGCTCCGCCATCCTGGACAGAATGGAGCGTCTGAGCAGTGAGGTGCAAGACCTCCACAGATGCAACAACGGAGTCAAGTCCGTTAAGGTGAGTGGCTAAGGTGCATGACCTCCACAGATGCAACAACGGAGTCAAGTCTGTCAGGGTGAGTGACTAAGGTGCAAGTACTCCAGTGATTAAACACCAGTGGCAAGTCTGTTAAGGTGAGTGACTAAGGTGCAAGTACTCCAGTGATTAAACACCAGTGGCAAGTCTGTGAGGGTGAGTGACTAAAGTGCAAGTACTCCAGTGATTAAACACCAGTGGTAAGTCCATTAAGGTGAGTGGCTAAGATGCAAGTACTCCAGTGATTAAACACCAGTGGTAAGTCAGTTAAGGTGAGTGACTAAGGTGCAAGTACTCCAGTGATTAAACACCAGTGGCAAGTCTGTGAGGGTGAGTGACTAAAGTGCAAGTACTCCAGTGATTAAACACCAGTGGTAAGTCCATTAAGGTGAGTGACTAAGGTGCAAGTACTCCAGTGATTAAACACCAGTGGCAAGTCTGTGAGGGTGAGTGACTAAAGTGCAAGTACTCCAGTGATTAAACACCAGTGGTAAGTCCATTAAGGTGAGTGGCTAAGGTGCAAGTACTCCAGTGATTAAACACCAGTGGTAAGTCTGTTAAGGTGAGTGACTAAGGTGCAAGTACTCCAGTGATTAAACACCAGTGGCAAGTCTGTGAGGGTGAGTGACTAAAGTGCAAGTACTCCAGTGATTAAACACCAGTGGTAAGTCCATTAAGGTGAGTGGCTAAGGTGCAAGTACTCCAGTGATTAAACACCAGTGGTAAGTCTGTCGGGGTGAGTGACTCAGGTGCAAGTACTCCAGTGATAAAACACCAGTGGTAAGTCTGTTAAGGTGAGTGACTAAGGTGCAAGTACTCCAGTGATTAAACACCAGTGGCAAGTCTGTGAGGGTGAGTGACTCAGGTGCAAGTACTCCAGTGATAAAACACCAGTGGTAAGTCTGTTAAGGTGAGTGACTAAGGTGCAAGTACTCTAGTGATAAAACACCAGTGGTAAGTCTGTCGGGGTGAGTGACTCAGGTGCAAGTACTCCAGTGATTAAACACCAGTGGTAAGTCAGTCAGGTTGAGTCAGCTTTGAGTTAACTTAATCCACACTGAAGGAATTGAACAAATGCTGAAGCTAAAAAGTATTCCCTGTTAAGCATAGTTAGATAACCTTCGGTCCCACAAACACCAATATTTTGAAGAACAAGTGGTTTATTTCTGTATGACAGTTTGTATGACAAGTATATAAATCTCTCCACAGCGCATCACTGAGCTGGAGAAAGAAATGTCGAGTCTAGTGAGACAGGAGTCACGTGACATGCTCCAGCAAGCCATCCCTATTGTGACAATGCCGACATGGAAACTGGTCAGATCCCCAGTTGAAGCTGCCATTCGAAATCTGATTGTTCGCAGGACGAAACCTGGTACGTCATCTTATGATTATCTGTGTTAAACGACGTGATGAACATGTTGTTTGTTGTTTAGCGCTGCACTCAGCAGTATTTCAGCTACGTGGCGGAGATCTGGAAATAATCAAACCTGGACCAGATAGTCCAGTGATCAGCACCATGAGCATCGATTTATACTAATGAGCTTTTGAATATTATCTTTACCATGATTATTTAATGCCACAGCTATATGACTGCACCCTATAAAAATCAAGGCAGGACCGCACAATCCTGTGACTGATGTTATGTGTACCAGTCCCCTCTGATATGTTTCAGTGCCAATGCAGCTAAGTCTGACCATGCTGTCTATTTGCAGGTGGTTTCTATGGCAACAGATGGTTACCATGTTGATAGTAACAGTTGGTTACCACACTGACTCTAGTGACAGTGACAGCTAGTTGCATTGTTAACAGTGACCACTGGGTACTTTCCTAACAACAGCAAGTGGTTTCTATGTTGGCAGTCACAGATGGTTACTATTTGGACAGAATTCAACCTTATGACAGCTAAAATGTCTGAACTCAACTTACGACTTCCACAGGTCTATGGAACTTTAGTTATCATTGCCTGGAGGGCACAAGACCCTCACATTTGACATGTTTAAGTGTTGTGCTGTTACATGGCAACATTGTCCTCACAGTTGTTATTTCTAAGTCAGTGTTTTACGTAGATAGTAAAATTTTGAGAAAGGATTTTTGAGTAAGCGTGAAAATGCTTGTCAGTGAAAATGCAGGTAAACATTATGTGTGACAGTTTTGATGTTCCTGTTGCAGTTGCAAGTGACTCTGTCAGCCGTGTAGGAGTGTCACCCACCAGCCCCATGAGGACATCTCCAGATCGCAGCCCGCAGCCACGGAGCAGACGAGGAGAACTGGACTCCGATGTCACAATGTGGACCTCTAGCACGCCACAGCCCCAACTTACAAGACAAAAGCCATGTAGTTCTCCGTCTCGTGGTCGAAGGGGTACTCGAGTCAGAGTTACAGCACAACGTTCCAGTGCATCCACATCCTCTTTGTCAGTATCTTCGAATAGTTTGTGGATATCTCCAAGAGGAGCTGCTTCATCCAGAGAAGACACCAGTGTGAGTGCCTCCGTCCCATCTGCCCTCACTGACTGCTACAAATCCATGGAGACGTCGCTGAAGAAACTTGAAGTGTCAGCAAAACATTACACCTACAAAGGAAGTGAACATGTAGCCAAGATGTTGAAAACAGAAGTAAAGGGATTCAAAGGGTATCAGACAACTTGTCCCAACAGTTTCAATTTTGGTTCTTCGACAATATCAGGAACAGGTTGTAATGCAGGGATAGATCATGGGTACAGCAACTCTTTTCAAGCACAGAAGCAGTGGGAAAGTGTTTTTTCACCTCCAGACACCACCATGTCTTTGTTTGGAAGCTCATCCAACCCTGGTAAAGAAGTAGATTTTTCCGGAAGGGGAATCTCATTATCACCAAGTCGACAGAGAGAAGCAGTAAGAAGTAGAAACTCACGAACTGGGAGAAACAGAGGCGCCAAGTTGAACTTTACTAATGGAGATCCTTTCAGTACCAAATCAGTCCCAGAAGCCCTCCAGCCCAATACTTTAACCCTGGGATCCAGGGCCCCACCTCCTCAGTCAAGTGTATCAACTGGTCAGTCCAAGCAAACTATTGGAACCGAATTCCACTTCCCTACTGGCTTCAATAATGATGGTTCCTTCAGTGTTAATGCTGCAGCAATGGTTCCACATTCAGGTCCTGAGAGATCAAACTTTACTGTCACACCCCATCCGCTTGAACAGTCTGGAAGAAATATTGATGTAAACTTTACCAGCAGCAATTTTCATAGGCCAGGAGTGTTTTTCACACATCCTGATACAACAAGCCAAGGAACAATTAACTTTGGAACAAACCAGCTTTATGTCCCAAGCGTGAACTCACTCTGGACAAATGGCAATTATGTAGATAACACTGTAACCGTAATGTCTCCGGGATATGGTTTACCACTGTCAACATCTGTCTCTGGAAGCTCAGGACGTCAACCTATGGCCTTCTCAGCACAGCCCCATGCAGCAGGGTCAGGGAATGTGTTATTGGCTGCTGCGGTATATGAAACAAGCTCTCCTACTCAGTGTTCCGAATCTTACAATGGTAGCTGTAATGAAAATCTTTCGGAAGCATCAGTGCAAGTCCTTAATTCAGCAACGCTCGGTCTTAGCTACACAACACCAGCACCAGCACCAGCACCAGCACCGGATACTAATACAGCAACACTGAGCTGTAGTACACCAGCACCAGTCCCGGATTCAGCAACAACGCTGCACTCCATGACATCAACGTTGGACACCAGTACACCAACACAAGTCCCGGATACAGCAACAACAGTGAACTCCAAAACAGCAACATTGGACACCAGTACACCAACACAAGTCCCGGATACAGCAACAACAGTGAACTCCAAAACAGCAACATTGGACACCAGTACACCAACACAAGTCCCAGATACAGCAACAACAGTGAACTCCAAAACAGCAACATTGGACACCAGTACACCAACACAAGTCCCGGATACAGCAACAACAGTGAACTCCAAAACAGCAACATTGGACACCAGTACACCAACACAAGTCCCGGATACAGCAACAACAGTGAACTCCAAAACAGCAACATTGGACACCAGTACACCAACACAAGTCCCGGATACGGCAACAACAGTGAACTCCAAAACAGCAACATTGGACACCAGTACACCAACACAAGTCCCAGATACAGCAACAACAGTGAACTCCAAAACAGCAACATTGGACACCAGTACACCAACACAAGTCCCGGCATAAAACAGCAACAACAGTGAACTCCAAACAGCAGCAATACAGCAACATTGGACACCAGTACACCAACACAAGTCCCGGATACAGCAACAACAGTGAACTCCAAAACAGCAACATTGGGCTCCAGTACACCATCACAAGTCCCGGATACAGCAACAACGCTGAACTCCATGACAGCAACATTGGGCTCCAGTACATCAACACAAGTCCCGGATACAGCAACAACGCTGAACTCCATGACAGCAACATTGGGCTCCAGTACATCAACACAAGTCCGGATACAGCAACAACGCTGAACTCCATGACAGCAACATTGGGCTCCAGTACATCAACACAAGTCCCGGATACAGCAACAACGCTGAACTCCATGACAGCAACATTGGGCTCCAGGACACCAACACAAGTCCGGGATTCAGCAACAATGCTGAACTCCAATACAGCAATGTTGGGCTCCAATATACCAACACAAGTCCCCAATTCTGCTACAGCAAGATCAGAGCCAAATGTCAACAGTGGACCAGACATCAGTGAGAATTCTTCCATGGTGTCCTGTAGTTCAGCTCCTGTCCAGCCCACTGACAGCAGGTGTTCAACTCCATGTCAGGATGAACAATCTCTCCCAGGGAACCATCAGTCTTCTCCACTATTGACCGATTCTGACATTGGAGTAATAACGAAAGACAAACAATCTAAAGACCCAGATGAAACAATTCCTGAACAGAAGTCTGTGACTGATCTGTTTGTAAATGATAATAACTCTACAGTTCAACAAATAAATGACAACCAGGAAATGAGCAAGAAGGACTTGCCCCCCTGTGATGCATCATCCACTTCATCCTCAACTGCTGCAACTGGGGGGACCTCCTCCACCGTGTCATCTGCTGCCTTTCAGTTCGGACTGACCCCATCTGTTTCTGTTAAGAGTGACAACTCTCAAAGTATATTTACATTTGGTGATGTTTCGGCCATGTCCAGAAATACAGGTTTTAATTTTACCCCTGTTAATGTTTCGGCAAAACCTGAATTTGCACATGCCAATTTCGAAAAGTTCTCCTTTCCATCTGATGTAAGGAAAGCAACAGAAATGCAACCCGAATCTCTGTTTGGTGGTTTTGCTGTTTCAAGGGAGACAGGTTTTCAGTTTGGATCACCAACTTCTTCAGTGAGCACCAAATTAACATTTGGATTTCATTCACTAACTGACACCATTGCTACAGCATCAACAGCATTTAGTGGCTTTGGATGTGATGATCCATGTTCTGAAAACAGGACAGGTTTCAGTAGTGTTAATGTTTCTGCAGAACCCAATCTACCTGATGCTCCAACCAGTATCCCTAAAACCTCTGATGTACAGAACAGGGATGCCAGATAAGATGCAGGTGATCATTGCTTCTTCATGGGAAACACCTTCAAACTTGTGTGACGTCAGGTTTAAATTTCCTTCACCGGCTGGCATCGATGATAGTCACCAGAACATGCATCCAGTGATGTCGCAGTTACAAGTCAAGTCACATCAGTCTCTTCACCACCACATAGGGAGGATTGTGGAGATTCAAGACGATAGGCAGTTAATTTCCTAACAGCTTCAAATGTATACTGTCAGAATAGAGTTTAAATTATATCAGATGTTTTCATGTCACATGTAATAAATTCATTTGAAGACTTGCGCAAGAATACATCCAAGTGAACAAGAGTGATGGAAGATAGTGGTGTGACGATTCATCGATACACATTGATGCATCGATCCATGGGCCCCCGATACAGTGAATTGATACAAAGTTTTACATTGTCATACATCCCGGGGGCGGTGGGGTAGCCTAGTGGTTAAAGCGCTGGCTCGTCACGCCAAAGACCCAGGTTCGAATCCCCACATGGGTACAATGTGTGAAGCCCATTTCTGGTGTTCCCCGCCGTGATGTTACTGGAATATTGCTAAAAGCGTCGTAAAACCAAACTCAGTCAGTAAGTCAGTCAGTCATACAATGATACATCCCGATACAATAATTCAAATGGGCCACAATACATCGATGTTTTACTTTGAATATTGTCGAATCGCGATATCTGTCATGAAAGGTATACTTTTGTCTGATGATTAAAATATATGCATACTTATTTTCCCTTCATAAGTTTCTCGGAAATTCTTGCGTCAGGAACTATGTCAAACATAACGCTAGCATTTTATTAATATTCACAAAGTCCATGTATAAACTTAATTTTCTCATTTCTGAATTAACATTGAAATATGCTGGCGGAATTTGACGAAATACTTTAAAATGGTTTTGTTTTGATCTTAAGGTGTTTTATAGTTGTGTTAGAATTAAAGATTTTAGTATCATGATAACGTATCGTATCACCACCCTTATATCGGGATTCGTATCGTATCGCAGCTTCAGTGCACAATACTTTGGTAATATATCTTTGTGACTAAAATTTTAGTATCGTGATGTATCATATCGCAGGTTGTATGCCAATACCAGCACCAATGGAATAGGGAACAAGTGACACCATTGCGTAATAACAAACAAGACATAAGAAAGTAGTAATAACATTTATTGCTTTAAATTCTGCAAGTTTCACCATTTCTTGGTGGCATTTTAAGTAAACTTGTATGGCACTAGAACAAATCATGAGCAAAAATAATTGTGCTGGCCATCTTTGTTTACAGCTAAGGGTAGTCAGAAAATATTGATCAATCAGCAGTTAGTTCAAAACTTGATTTTCTACAAGCGATTCTTCTGGAAACCAGTGGATGATAAATTACATTAACATGAGGATCTTAATTCTTGATGTGATATAAAATAAGGTTTATGATGGTACAACTTTCTTACTGTGTATTCTGGAAACGGGAACTTGAACGTGATTGATCAAAACAATGAGTTATGTTGCATTGTGTTCTTATAGCAGCAAGAACTGTTAACAACAGTTGTTAGTGTGTTTTGACAGATTTTATCAGAAACCTTTACAGATAGGGAAACCAAATTTGGTGTGTGTTTTCGGGACATGAATGCCTTGATGGAGTTCGAAAACATAAACCGTGTTACAATAATTTACAGAGTTAAGGCCCTTGTGATGCGTTTCTTGACTTAGTGCACAGTATCCCCAATGGGGACAGATTTTCTCAATAAACTTTATAGATAGGGAAACCAAATGTGGTATGTGTTTTCAGGACATGAAAGTCGTGGTGGAGTTTTAAAAACCAGGAACTAAATAGGAACAGAACACTGGCAGGGGATATTGATGACCATGTCTTGTTGAAAACTGCATTAAAACCAACTCACTGACTCAAGACGAGAGTTGTTAAATATGATGTCACACGTATCAGCTTCATCTTCAGACAACTGAAATGTTATTGTAGACAGTCCATAGAATTTTAAGTGTTAATATCCTACAGAAAAGCTGTGTTTAATGCATGTTATGAAAACTAGGGAAACGCTATTTTGCAGAAGAGTTGTTAGCATCATTAATATCATGTTATCACTGTAGGTATGGTTTGACATCATTTACAGTTGTTAGATTGTTTCAATCATTACACTTTCGTTTGAATGCAGGGGTTCAAAAATCCCAGGTCCCATGGGCACAATGTGTTAAGCCCATTTCTGGTGTCCCCATGCATTGATATTGCTGGAATATTGCTAAAAGGGACAAGTCAGTCAGCCCATCGCCCGACGCCCGGGACAAGTCAGTTTTCATTTCGGGCGATCAAATAATGGCATCTTACTTGTCCGTGGGCCACTAGATAATTTCTGCTTACTGTTTCAAACTGCAAATAAACTTGGATTTCATTTCATATCTGCTGAAAATGTAACTATTAAAATTTGACACGATATGAGAACGAAATGAAGTAATTTTTGCAATGATAATTAACTAGTGTTATCTTCCTTTGGTATTTATCACTTCTCGATAAACATTAACATCAAATACCATGTTGATTTATTCTTTCATAATTACACCATCATGATTATGTCATAACAATCAGGGCAAGTGGAAAATTAGTCAGGACAAGTTACTTTAAAGTCATTTGCCCTGTGGCAAGTGACTTTAATAAATATAAAAATTTGAACCCCTGGAAAGCACATGTGAACAGATTAGCTTAGCTATGATATGTATTGAAGCACATCAACATGTATCAAGGTTGTACATAGCTGCAGTATTCACAGTTCCATTCTGAAATGAGGAGAGTTTATCTATTATTCAAGCTTTTTTATAGCATGTCAGAAAATTATTAGTTAAGCATGTTTCTGTCCAAGGTTTCTTCTCCATTACTTTATCACTATAAAGGCGAGTTAAGGGTTAGAACCATATGAATGCCGCCCATGGTGTCTAATCATTTAAATGTTTTAACATTGTTTTTATAACCATATTTAAACAGATGTTCAAGAACTATATGCTTAACTGTGAGAACACTGTATGTCACCCCTCCATGATGATATTTTAAATATATTCCCTGTTATTTTACATCTCTCTCCTTGGCAACATGGGATGTTAAGTTGCACCCATTCAATCACATTTATCAATCATCACAATATTATTTGTCCATGTTGATGGGCCTATTATTAGCAGCCATAGCTCTGATAAAGTAAAGAGTAATATCAATGAAGAGCTATCAAATGACAGAATGTCATACTGAAAAAAAATCTGAGACAAAGGAGCCATGGTTTAAGAATGAATGAAGTATGGCCTGTATCCCAGAGATAAAGTGATAAAATTCAGAAAGTCGATAACTCATGTGAAATAACTTGATGTGAAGAGAATGTGCGGGATCAAATTCCAGATCTGTGATTGGCTGCTCAGTGGTAATGGCCCATGGTCAAATTAATATGACAGATTACTTTCCTCTTTGTAATTTATTGATGAGTGAGTGAGTTTGGTTCTACACCGCTTTTAGCAATATCATGGTGGGGGACACCAGAAATGGGCTTCACACATTGTACCCATGTGGGGAATCGGACCCGGGTCTTGGGCGTGACAGGTGAATGCTATAACCACAAGGCTACCCCATATTGATAAGTAGTTTTGCTTTGATGGAACTCACATTTCTGTGAAAGGTGTACAGTTTTATGATCTTTCATGTTCTTAGATCTAGCATAGTTGTCAGTATCCTCATGCCTTGATAATCCACAGGTATGACGGCACCATTTTTATGGAGGGTCACACCTGATAAGACATGACAAATGACTGTTGTGTAATATATTAATGTTTGCTTTGATCGTGAGAATAGATAAAATATATGTCACTTCAATGCTGAAACAGTGTGACTTTCAGGTTGTAAGAAACACATTACTACACTCATGCCTCACTTAAGCTTGATAGATACATTTTGTAACCTTTGGAATAATGATGACGATATATTACTCTGTTTTCTACTTGGGGGTCGCCCTACTCAGTGCACTAAGGACCTCGACTATGAAACATGGACAATGTGCATAAGCCGAATATGCAGAACTATTAAGTTGTGGAAACGATATTTCTATGAATGTGTATAATTTCTGACATGTGTAAATACCATACACATAATACCATATGTGTATATCCATATAATACCATATTGATTTACTTGTAATGTACCTGTAAACCTTGTATTTATCTTCATATGCTATGGAGGAAATAAAGTACATAAAGTACATCTCTCATTACTACACTGCTGCCTCACTGAAGCTTGATAGATACATTGTAGCAACTTGTAATATATCTGGTGTCTGACAGGTACCCGTAGAGTGCTCCCTATCTACTAGTGTTGGGAATTGGTTAAAATCTCATAATTGATGATTGGTTCATTACCACCGATCCATCATCGAAAATAATTGGTTAGCGTCACTTATGAAATTTGTTAATGCACAAAAAAATAAGGAAAAAAAACGTAGTTATTTTGGGGGGTTTGGGCAAAATTTCAAATCTTTAAAGGATGATTTGTATGTTAGGAACATAAATTTCTTGGGGTCTTTAAGATAAATTAAATCATGACTTGGAACGAGCTTATAATGCTTATGAAATGTAACAGACAAAACCAACCTTGTGAAAAATATTGTTGATGAAAACAAGTGTTCCAGAATTGTTTGTGTTCGATTATGAGAAAACATGATCGATTGCTTGGTTGTTTAGTCACTGCGACCAATCTTCGATTATTTCAATTAATCGGATCACCACTACTATCTACTTCATGTGATATCTTCTCTACAGCAGCTGGAGTAATCTTCAGGTTTTGCTGCACTGTGATATGCTTCTAGATTGTCAAGAACAGAGTCATCGATCATGAATATAACTGGATACGAACAGTTCCCTTTCAGAAGGATAGAATCTTTTCTGTCATTTAAGGAATCCTTGTTTGTTTTCGGTTATCCAAGGTATATCTCTTGTTTCCATATATATAATAAAGATGTTGGCATCTGTCAATCTGTTTTTGACTTTATGGGAACTGGGTGTCAGTGAGTTGTGTGCTGGCGATTAGGTGCCTGACTGTGAGGGTGTGGGTTCGAATCCTGAATGGGACTGAACCCCACAAAAGTTCTAGAATCTGTACTTTATTAAGAAAGTGTAATCCCAAATATAACGTGTTACATGGATGTGAGTATTAGTTATTACCCATGTGGTCAACGTATGGGTAGTTGCATACTAATCTCGTACGTCACACGAGTGTCGTATCGCGTTGACCTTCGTCGTAACGACATTCTAACGAGGTTCTAACGATATGATTGAATAACCAATGACCTCTCAAGTAGGTCCCGTTCTGATGTAACTATTTTTTCATTCATAACATACATGTGAATTCATTCTTTCTACGACTTATATGCATTGTGGGAATGTAAACATTGCGAGCGTTGCCACGTCGCTGTTTAATTGTGAGTCGAACTGAGACATTATATCTGTCGAAAAACATAAACGCAATGTTTCCACCAGTGCTGTTAGCCGAGTGAAACAACTGCTAACCAAGACACTCGTTTCGTATAATTCGTATGTAATGACACCTCGTGTAGTATTCTCTATGTATGACCACTAGAAAGAAGGTTGTTATCCTACTGGTGCTTGTCATAAAACAAGGACTAACTGGATCGCAGTCAGTGTATTAAGTATGCTCTGGGTAGCCATGCTAAACTGCAGCATGGTATCTCCATGTGCTAACAACATTCTCCATGTGCTAGCAACATAGCACCAGCTTTAGTACTAGCACTCACATGAATGAGGAGCCAAAATTCAATGATGTCTCCCTTGGTTGTGTCAGGATCTGCTATTCATGGATCAAGTTCCACATTGGCCCATATTGACAACAGTTCATTCAAGTGCTTGCCAGACTATACCGGACCAACAGTATGTCACATCTGCCTTTACTACTACACTGCTGCCTTTACTACTACACTGAGACACTTTGTGATGTCCTGTTCAAACTGGCTTAACACAAAACTTATTCTCACGAAAAAGATGATACATTAATTGTACAGAAGATTCGTTTGCACCAAAAGCTGCTTGTTATCATTCTCTTCCCACAGAGGTTACTCCTGTCATATCTTCCTACGTAACCTCTGTTCTAATACGGCCCTTTCATGGTGTGAGCGTTCAAGACTCGTGATTGGAGGCAATCAGATTTAGTTGTGCAATCAACGACGTTGTTTCAAAAGTGATCATTCGCAAGGCCTCGGTAATTTCCGTATGCTTCGAGAAAAACTAAATTTCTTCCCCTGCACGATGCGAAACGTTTCTTCTAGACAGAACTCAGTCATGTTATGGCGGATCAGTGGCGTCTCCAACGCCCTCATTGACAACCGACAAGCTAGCCATTAAACGTCTTGTGTGTAACATCAACACAATTCCCCGGCAGATGGGGGATATTTGTGGCCCCACATTTGCTTGTGTTAGTCAAGTTGAATCTAAGTCGATGTAACACGTGTTCTGATTGGATAGAAAGAAGGGCGATAATTTGTGTTGCGATCTTTTGCCGCTAGGGGATTTTACGAGAACCGGGAAATATGGCCGTATTAGAACAGAGGTTCGTAGGAAGATATGACAAGTAACCTCTGTGGGAAGAGAATGGCTTGTTATATGTCCAGTCATAAATTGATTTTCAGTATATTTGGAAGGATATGTCTAAAACTGAACAAAATGCAAGTTTCAATATGTTGGTATTAATGTGGATTAATATATTTAGGTATTACTTTTACAAAATCTGTAAAATCCTTATTGTCCCTTTTCACCTTTACTAAATGACAGTCCATTTGGATGTTCAGTATCTGAAACATATCCCCACTATGTACGCCCAGCAATGTGGATTTAAAATATTTTGCGAAAAATTTTATATTTTGAAATCAAATCCCTCCAAAGCTAAAAAACTAGTACTTCTGTGCAGTAAAAATACTGAAAATAGGCCACATAAATTAATTATTAAATCATATCACTCTTACTTCTTGCCTCACCACCAAACACCCAACTGACATATTTTGATTTTCACCAAGAACCTACTGAGGAAATTGCTGCATGTGTTTCTTCTGACTTTATTTTATGAAATGCACCTATGCAATATCTTTCCTGTTATGACAGAAAGCTAATACACAGTGTGTGTCTGCCATTGTTGATTCGGGGCACAGCTGTCTGAGTCTGCTGAGGTAATGGAACTTGCTTGTAGAGTTATGTCCCTTGGGCATGTAAGCTCGACTGATGGTGACAACTTGAAGGTGAGGTGAAATTGAGTTTTACGTGGTGCTCGAGAATATTTCGCTCATATGACGACGTGCATGCATGTGTATGTGTATGTGCGGCTGCTTGTACTAGCTCAGACTTAAGCTGGTTTTATAGTGCTAGCCCACTGAGATACCATGCCGCAGTGAAGCATGAATACCCCACTCAGACACATTATACTGACTCCGAGCCGACCAGTCCTTGTTGTATCCATTAATGCCGAGCGCCAGGCAGGGACCAACAAGTACCATATTTTAACGTCTTTTGGTATGACGCGGTCGGGGATCGAACCCGCGGGTGGACGCTCTAACCACTACACCACGGAGGCGTTCTTGACAACTTGAAAGCACAACAGAACAAAACAATAGAAATATAAATTACTATAGATTTTATTACAAATAATTTCAATGTTATAAATAGGAAGGTGCATTGAGAGAACAATTTGCAGTATAAATATTACAATACTTACAAAATATCAATCATTTAATTACAATATAAACCTATAGAACTACATGAAAACTCTACCCCAGTACATAGTATTCACTTCCAAATACATAGTCACACATGAATGCTGATCGAGGATGTCAAATTGTATCAGTGTAACAAATACCAAGTAATCATAATCATATCAAAACATTTAGTTAGTACAGCATTAGAACAAACAGGATATTAAAAATACAGTATTAATAATGGATATATTCTCACTTGAGACAGATGTAAGTAATAAAGGTAATAAACTGATATTTGGGTTAAAAGTGTACATGGTAAATAGGTACAATTTCATATGTATTCATAAATATTTACTCCATAGTGACTTCTAAAAGCGGATAATAACAGCAGCATTTCTCAACAACCTTTCACCAAGGGCAGATAACTCTTGCAGCACTAAGATCCAAAAGCAAAAGTAAGACAAAAGAATGAAAGGGCGAAAAAGGATCTGAAACTTGGCCCATAATAAATTATCTGACCATCACACAAAAGCAGTTTCTGTTTACAAAAAACGTCTAGCAGAGCTCTAGAAGCAGGATTTAAACATGCAGGATGGCTAAAAGGATTTTGGCGAAAGAGATCTTAAGGCTTTTGAGGAACGGAGGATAGAGCGTCTAGTGGGAGAACCTGTGGTTAAAACAGAAAATACATGGGGATTAGTCAACAAGAATTTCAAACATATCACAGTCAGATCTGGACGGATCAGTATGAACCACGCAAGGAGGTCATTTTGAACTTTCTAATATGACTTACAAATACTGAACAAACACAAGCAAACATACTGATATCAACACTTAGTCATTCTATATTCTCGTTTAATGCTGTGGTTGGGGATGGGTGGTGGAGTTTTGAATAAGTTTTCTGTTTGCTTGTGTTTGTGGTGTGAAGTTGACTACGGATGTATTCTGAAAAAGGTGAGCTGGGATACAAGTATGTGGAGACATTGAACAGATGCTACTACCAGTGCCACAGACAACAATGGCAGTCCTAGTTAACTGGCTAGTAGTCTGAAATGGAAGAAAATAGATCTTCAGATACTCTCATAAATAAATTCCTTGAACCAGTACCATTAAGGATATATTTAATGAATACGGAGTTAAACAAATCTGGTGTTAAATGGAAACCAATCAACTTTTGTAATCAATAAAATTTTAACGAGATTTTAACTCATCATATCGTATGTTATGATATATAACATATAGCCCTTAATTTCCTTAATTTTAATTCATCAAGATCTAGAAATTATGTCATAATTCATCCAATGGACTTTGACATTCACTTTTCAAAATCATCAACATCTGGCTGCCATTCAAGATAAAAATGTGCTGTTGAGCTGGATTCAAGTAGTTAGTGATGGATCAAATTCATCATCAAGCAAGAGCTGTAGCACTATTCCTACGTCTTGTGAGAACTACTGAAATAGCTACATCTATTTCTGTATTAAAAGAACTGTCAGATCTTGTATCAAGCTTAAATGTAAACTAATTACTTCAATACAGAAAATAGTTTTTAGCTTAAAACATTTCAGCACATGGCTTCTGTAATATATGACAATGTAATCTTATGTTCACAGTTTACGTTTTCTCTTCTCGTTATTGAAGCGTAGAAAATGGAAGCATCATTTATATATCAGTGTCCTTTCAACAGCTCAGTCAGATGTCAAAGTACTTTCTCAGAGTACGACAACTTCACCTACTCTACTACACCTGGAACAATCTACACTGGATCTCACACTCACTCATATATAGTCATCAATACAATACAGACATCTGGAAACTGGTATACAATTGTCTAAGAGGTGGTTAGTCAAATGTCTTGTGATACTAAGGGTTAAATTGTCTATTCTTGGACTTGAAGAAGTTTACCGACTTGTGCATTTATAAGAATAGGTGTATCGTCGTGAATGGTTCGTTACGATGTCGCCTAGTTTGAAAATTAAAAAAAACAAAAATACATATTATTGTTAAAATATTACTTCTACTTCTAAAAACATTTACCTGAAAACAATGATTATCTCAAAACCATTAACTAAAGACTACTACTACTGACTTGCATAGGACAAAATGTTGAGTATCAAGGTATCTTAAAAAATCCGAAAATAGACAATTTATGAATGGTTCCCTGACCAATATGGATGTGGTAGTTAGTGCCACACAGAACTATTGAGTTCACAGCCACCGACCTGTGGGGCTACGTCGACCCAGGGGGCTGAGACAGCGGCGTGGGCTGGGGCAGCGACTCCGACGCAGGGGGCTCACAGACCGTGATCTGAAGCTTGGGCTGAGGGCACGGGTCGGGCTGAGGGAACGTGTGGGGCTACGACTTCTGCGGCCTGATGAAGTCTGAAAAGGTCAAGGTCACATTAGGATCAGAAGTGATAATTATACAGTTGATATCTACATGTTTCTGTAAGTCAGGGTTACATTTGGGTCATAATTGATAACTAAAAGTTGACATTAACATGTTTCTGTTCCTGTATGGCTTTATGAACTCTGTTGAGGTCAAGGTTAAATTAGGGTCACGGATAATAGCATAGTTAGTGTCAACATAATATTTATGCTTCTGACCGGTCATATTGACAAAACAGTTTGATTATGTTAGATTTCAGAAGAGCAGTATTGACGTACCGTAACCGTATGCTTATAGATTGCTACAAATGGGGATTGTATGATCAAAATGGTTATATACAGTCACAAATAGGTGAGATGAGTATTAAGCATATATAAAAACTATACATAGTCTAAATGACATTCAAATAATACCGGCAGAATTTCTGCAACTTTAAGAAATGTATGTGCAAACAGGCTATATAGTTGGTAAAACTTAGAGCTTGGCCCCTAACCCCCAAGCACCAGTGCTTGCACTAGCCTTGTACTTACAAGTGAGGCCCCGCGACGGGTGAGTGCCTCCCCCTTGACGAGGGTTTTGATCCCCTGCATGAGACAAGGCCAGATGTGGTGGTTCACAAGAGGGGCAGTGTACTCGGAGTCGTAGCTGCGTCGGTACCTACAAACAAACACAACCTTACCAGAGGCCCAGATAAGCTGCGTATCCGGGTAAAATACGCATAGAATATTTCCAATTATGCATTGAAAAATAATTGTTGCGTACCAGTTACGCATTTAAAATGTTAGATATGCAAAAAGTTTAAAACAAATGCGTACGGAATATATTTATAAAAATCGCTTGCGTAATGAAAAAGACATTGATTGCTATCAAGTTGTACTGTTAGTATAGGACAAGTGTTGTACTGTCAGTATAGGATCAGCGATTTTTTTATGAAATCATTTCCATTATATTTAAGTTGGTTTTGATTCAGTATGACATAAGGCAGAACATACCTGCTTAGTAAACTTACTCAATGACATAATACTTAGGTGAGTAAAATGACTGAAATACGCACATATTTGAAAGCAGTGGGTAACGGAAAATGAAATACCCACTCAACATTCATAATACCCACTCCAACAAAATACAGTGGGTACAGCACCCACATGAGCTAAATCTTATCTGGAGCTCTGACCTTACCACACATTCAGTCTAGCATCAAGGCTTTAAATGTAAGTCTTTCACAAGAGAGATCAGTGATATTTTTTTAGAAAAATATTATTTGGAAATTAATTTAACTTCTGTAACCTGACACTTGCTTACTGCATCATGAATTTCAAATCTCTATTACACATAACTGTCTGGGCCCTCAACAATGGTTCATAATGCAAGTTTCCATTATATTTAGGCAGATGCCCCTCAAGGGTGCCGAGGACTTTCAACTCAGCTGTACGTATTCAACATGGTTGTGTGTGTTGAAGTCCACATCACCTGAAGTCTCACAATCACTAAGCTTGAAAGGACATTGGTGCCATTCTTGTCACAATAAATCGGTTTTTTAGGTATTTTTCAAATTTCATTATGCTGTTGTATGTGTATTACAAATATTATTCCTACATATCAATGGGAATGGGAGGAATAGTGCTTTACTTACATATTTCAAAGAACTGAAACCTGTTAGTGATGCAATGATATATTGACAGAATCACAGAAGCTGTATATACTAAAGACAGTGTCGGCATTATTGACTTATGCTGTTTCAATTCAACGTACTTGTTGTCATCGAAGAGCTCAGCGTCAGTGGAGGCAGCGATGTCGAGGGGATGGGCCAGGGCACTCATCTGCCAGGCCAGCTTGCAGGCTTCCCTGATGAAGGGCTGGACGATGGCAAATGTGGCATCAGGAGGCAGGAAGATCTTGGGATTGCGGTTGAGGGCACGGATAACATCCTGTAATTGTAATGAAATAATTAACTGGTACAAACGTTCTTGGATTATATTAATAAATCTAAGGACCCATAATTCTTCAACTTTTATCACAAGACTAAACACCCCAGAAGTGTAGCATAGGCAGATCTGATGTTGGTTCCAGTAGAGTTCTGAGCTGCAGTATGAAAAATCAAGAAGACCCATTACACCACTTTGCTGACTGTTTTTTTTTTCATTTAAGTGTAGTCATATCCCTAGTAGCTTAGATTTATATCAGACTTGTCCTTTACATTGCAGTAATGGCCCTTACATGACATGTCAACAAACATAAGACTATTTACATTCCGTCTTACAAATTTCATATATCTATAACTAAATCAGTTTTACCAAATTGATTCAATCACCTCTTCTAAAGAAACCGTTTAAAAGGAATATTTAATAGTATACTGACGGACACCATCCCGGGCAGGTCGTAGAGGTCGCTGTTGCGGTTGATGTAGTCTTGCACAGCCTCCTCTAGTGTCTCGGGACCGTAGTGCGTCTTGGCCAGGTTGGCTCGCACCTTCATCTTGAACTGGCGGAAGGCAAGCTTGGCTGTGCTGAAGGCTTCCTGTAATACATGCTTCATATTTATTTGTTTGTTGTTATATGCAGCAATATTCAAGTGAGTGAGTGAGAGAGTGAGTTTAGTTTTATGCCGCTTTTAGCATTATTCCAGCAATATCACGGCTGGGGGACACCAGAAATAGGCTTCACACACTGTACCCATGTGGGGAATCGAACCCGGGTCTTCAGCGTGACAAGTAGATGCTTTAACCAGTAGACTACCCCACCACCCCCAATATTTAAGTTGTGATGACGGTTTATTAATAATCAAATCTAGACCTGACAATCCAGTGATTAAGATCATGAGCATCAATCGACACAGGATACAATGACATGCCTGACCACTGATCCTGTTTGGCGCCTTGACCAGTCCTAACTTTGACCTTGAGTTTGCGACGGCCTACAGAACAGGCCATGAGGCTGTTATCACTCACAGTGATTGATCTTCCTCTGAAAATCCTCAAAAAATCATGGAATTTTTCACCTATATCCTGAACATGTTTTTGGCACAGATGTGAACTGTTGTAAACTAGTCCTTGATACAAAGCAACCTTTGATAACTAAATAAATACTAAAACTTCTGCTCACAGAAACAGCACAGTAGATGATTCTCTGGTTGTTCTCGTGATCGTCAGAGTAGCGTCTGAGAGTGTCAAGGGCGTCAAGACGATCCTGAGCAAACATGTCGTTGAATCTGGCCACCAGGTTCTGCTGGCGGACTCGCTGCACAGGGTCGTCGATGGCCAGCGGGGTCGTGATTCTTGAGGTGTAGCGGTACGAGGTCATGCTGTCAGACAGGCTGCACAAAACAGTCAAGTTACCATGATGATGGGATTTCAATTCAAAACACCTTCAGGGAAAATCTTCTTTTAATTTACACCCTCTCATAAACAATAAATCATAATTACCAGGATCAATTTTGCATTAACTGAACTGAATTGAAAAGAAATACTTTTGATATTCATTAAAAACTTCCAAATACCACTCATTAAAAATGATGATTTACTTCTTTCTGCTGATTCAGCAATTTTACAATAATTTTGAATTACTCTCCTCAAGTCATTCTAAATCTACTGTTGGTTAGTGTTTTGTATGAAGACCAAGTACATGCATCTATGCATCATTATCAGCTAACCATTCTCATCTAATCTCATGCATTGTCTCTGTAAATACCTCATGCACAAAGGTCTAATTGTAAGTCTGTTCAGAGCACATCATTTCAGTAACCAGCACATCATGCAGACTAGTTGTTAATCACAGCAAACATCAGCTACATGTTACTTCAAAACTTCAGTCAAACAAAAAGCTGTACCTCTATTTTAAACATTATATGAACAGATGACATGATTTATAATCACTTCACTTAAATTAATGCTGTTTTCTAGATCATTACTATTTTCTGTTTTCAACTGTTTCAAGGACACTTACAAAAGGTATTACTTAAAAGAAGTTTTTCAAAGTTGAACTTAAATAGTTTGTATGCTAAATATTTGAAGCAAGACTTACATTTACACCAAGTTAAAAAGAATCTTGTTTGTTTGTTCCAGCAGTATTCCAGCTATATCACTGTGGTCTAAGCCACATTGAGACAAATATCCAGTGGCTGACATCAGGACCATCAATCTACACAATGAAGTGCTTCAACCAAGACAGCAAGACTTAGTCGCCTCTTATGACAAATATAAGAATTGCTGAAAATCAGTATTTAAATCATATCTTCAGAGCATTAATCTTGAAATATAACCGTTATTACTCTAGCCTAACTACAAGTTTCTTAGTACATTTTCTAGTATGTAGTAAAACAAACAACCTAAGCTTTCTTCGCATGCAACAGAACAAGCATTAGTCTACATATCTAATTATGAAAACACACATTCACAGCACACAGTGTCTAAAACTAAAACTCAATTTGCAGATTTGGTCACAGAAAGTCCGGAGTGCAGCATGAGATGAAGAAAGGGCAACCTACTTGTAGTCCCTTTTCCCATAGGAGAGCGACAATTCGTCTCTCAGATTCCGCATTTTTCTTTCATAATCATCCACAAGGCCTGCCCTAACTCGTAACTTGGCTATTTCATCCTGTGCATCAGCTAGCCTAAAGACAACCACATCGAGACAGAAATGAGTGTCCGAAACTTTAAAAAGCGTAAATAAACAGCTAAGTCGGGTCCGTTCTGTGTGAATAATCATACGAATTTTACTGATTCAGCTCAGAAATTAGGGACAAAAACATATTTTAGGTTCCTGGGTTCTCTGATCTGATATTACCCAAAGACCATGTTGAAAAAATATTTCCGCTGTTGCTTAACAAATGCTGACAAGCTGACCCCTTATAGTCTGTAAATCTCAAAACATCAAGGCTGCCAATCAGGAACAATTAAGTAGACCCCATTTCATTCTTTTTCCTCGATCATTTTTAATTATCTTTTTTGTCATGTGAGAAATTTTTAAACCAGAAACCCATCTTTCTGTCAGTTCTTCCGTGAAATGACTTACTCAAGGATCACTGATGTTTTCATGAAAAAATCCATAACAAGAACTTGCTTCCCAAAATCTATTCCAGAAATGATTTTCAATTTATGGAACAATTATTTCACACAGAGCAGACCAAGCATGTCAAATTATATATAATGCAAAAGAAATGGGTTAGGGTGTCAGAGGGTCATAAGAAATGAATAAATAAACAAAACAAATAAACAAATGAGTCGACCGAGCCCTATGTTAGTAGACTCGCTCTTCTTACCCATTGACATCATACGAAATATCTTTGGGGGGTACGCGCTGTAAGACGTCTCGCCTAGCTGTGAGGAGGGCTATATCATCCCTTAAGCGCCGAATCTCACTCTGATAATCATTTAAAAGACCTGCTTTGTTTCGCAGATTCTTGCACTCCTCCTCTGCAGCTGCAAGTCTATGGAAATGAAACTCTTTGATGCACTGTTCGCTTGATTGGTTTACCAGAAACCTGGTCCCTGATTCACTATGGGAATCTTGGGAGCCTTCTCTTAAAGTTCAAAGGAAATTAAGGTTAAGGAGTCAGCTCTACCCTCACCATTGCTGACGACTCATACAAAATGTCCCTGTTCCTTGATGGTACTGGTGTAGGTTACATATATTCTACAGTCCACGTGTGGTTTGTATATATCGGATCAACTTGGCTTTCGTAACATACACTTTTCCAACATATTTTTTTTTTTACCACAAATCATGTTTTTATGCACAACTCTTTCTTAAGTTCACGGGGGGCGGTGGGGTAGCCTAGTGGGTAAAGCGTTCGCTCGTCACATCGAAGGCCTGGGTTCGATTCCCCACATGGGTACAATGTGTTAAGCACATTTCTGGTGTCCCCCGCCGTGCTATTGCTGGAATATTGCTAAAAGCGGCGTAAAACCCAACTCACTCAATCACTTAAGTTCACGGAGTTCCAAAAGCACAGGCATATCATGTTCTCTTACACACCTTGGAAGGATGGGCAGTAACTCGATGGTTGAATGTCAGTACTGACTTCCACAAAGGACAGGTCAGATACCTGTGTAGAACTTTGGTGTGTAATATTTTCCCACATTAAACAAGATTATAAAAAACAGTCTACAGAAACCTATTCTTTATCATCAGAAGTTGACAAGCTGCTGAGTTTTCAACAAGGTAAAGTTTGAAAACACATGAGATTCTTGGGGTTTTCTCACTCAAAATATAAACTAGCACAACTTTGTGATAAAGAGTTGGATCTGAGATGAGTGAAAACTTCCCTTAACGTCAACATAAAGTATACTGTTGTACAAGCATGGTGTGAGTGAGGTGGTCAGTGGAGGTCAACAGGGTCAACAGTGAGTGGTCAGTGCAAGTGGTCATCACAAGATTCCCATAGTGCAGGTGTCACAGCAACCCTTCAGTAGAATCGGGGAACGATAAGGTGTCTAGATCTTTACAAGGCTTTCATAAAGTTAAACAGTTAGATAAAATACCATGGCAAATTGTAGAAACGTAAAACAATACATGGGTATATTTTAAAAATATTACTGGATTCAAAACATATGTAACAAACTTCTTAATTCCAGGATAACATAATTAGATATTATACGGTTATATGTTTACAAATTTGTGTTGAACAGTTGCATTGTTAAATGACATTCATAATGCTGAAATATGCACTTCTCAACATTTGAAAGGGATAATGAACTATGTCATACTATAGAATTGAGTAAATATGTTTGCTTAGACATTACAAAATTGTATGCATATCTCAAAGTAAATCCTTTTAAACGTAATTTATTAAAGTCAATTCTCATTTGAATAGAAGCTGGAAACATGTCTCTCACATGAGAATAGCACTTGGTATTTTACACCTCCAAGCAGTCTATCATATTTCAAATATTCCTACCAAAAGTTGAGTAGTGTGCTTGTATAGTACTTCTGTAGAAAGTTATACAGATTTCACATATGCATTGTACAAAATTCTGCGTAGAAAAACAATTGAAAGCAAAGATGTGAACGCAATGAAAGCATGGTGAAAAATGAACTGAAATATGCTGGTACCATCAGTTGGCTGAAACTCTACAAGAGAGTAAACAACAGATTCAAGACTATTGGAATGGATTTCTATAAACTATATGTTACCTTTTAAGACTGCGGAGACTAGTATATTGAGAAAATATCAATATCACTGACACATCATGTTTGAACAAGAGTAAAGAATCATCCTCACAATCTACTTCCAAGATGTTACACTCCTAACTTCTAATATTTCTCTTTGCAATAATGTCCTACAGACGTATCTTATAATAACTTGCAGAGTCTCATTCCACAAAGAGATCTTAGCAGTCAGTTACTCTTTTAACAGATGTTTCATAGTCACTGCACAAAGATCACATTCTGGGTGCCGTTCCACTAACCGATCTTATCTAAGATCAATCTTAGCAAGTTATGCCAGTTTTACAATCGTCTTAGCTAAAAGTTACACCCATTCCACTAACCAATCTTTGGCCGATCGTAGCCAGTCCCGATCTTACGATCAGAACCAAGCTTAGATCGAGACTCTTCCATGCGAGAGATAGAGAAATGTGAGGCACGAGTTATCTCCTCTGCATAGTCTAGCAGACGATGGAAGTAGTTTGGGAACCAATTGTAAACGTGGAGAAAAATCCTCAAGCAAAATATTAGGGTAGTGAGCACCTTGGTTTCAGGGGCAAGTGGGTGTGAACGCTGGGTATCAAGCATAATATAAACTAACATTCAGGCTCGGCCTTCCTTTAGTATCCCCCACCATATAAACACATCTGAAATCAAACATATTTGTAATTTTTTGTTTTAGAACATTGTTAATTTCACAACCCGTCCCTATTCTTAACCATGACGTTACAATATAATTGTACAAATTTATTACACCGACTCCCTTGGCTGTGTTCCCATGACAACATTTGTAAGGCTTAGTGCTGTGTTTGTTTACATCACAGAAATAAACAAATTCATTTCATGGGGGGTTTTAGGGGACGCTCACGGTGAAATGTTCGCTTTTCTTCTTCACATAGAATATGAAAGCCACCATTTTGGTTTCTCTACGATTGATTTTAGCGATCTTAAGTTTGTCATGGGCAACTTAGACTTTGGATCTTAACTTTACGATTGACTTGGGTAAGATTGGTTTGTGGAACGGTATGCCGATCGTAACATCATGCTAAGATTGGGATTTTAGGGGTTTACGATTGGCGTAGGGCTAAGATTGGTTAGTGGAACGGCACCCTGGATCTTAACCTGGGTCAGGTTATCAGAAAACGTCTTGTATTGACAAGAACTCTTACATTACCCATTATAAATAATACTTAAATGAACACTTTGGCCCCATATGCCCTATCACAATAATACATAATTCAACTGAAACATAATGCATAATGACATAGCTATAAGTATAAGTTACCTTAAAACGATCCGCTATCAAAAGGTTTAGAATAAGTAATCTGATTCAAAAAGTAAATATAAACACAGCACACCAAAATTGTGATTATTCCAGAATCTGACACGTAAATGAAGACCCATGCCTATTCCATGCAACTTTTCAAAATCCAAAATTTTAACTCACTTAAAGGGAGCTTACTCTCGATGTTCTAATGCCCATTTCAATCTAGACAGTGTAATACCTGACAAGTGTGAACTTTTTTTTTGTAAAATGAAGCCATTCTCCCTCTGCAATTCTGTCCAAACAGTGCAAGCTGCTACCCCCATGAATCAAGCACCATTCTACAAGTGATGAAGCGTCTAGTTATGAAGATGACAGTGTCTACACGAGAGTTGCTGCAGCTCTTACTTTCTCCTCAACTCCGAAGTCTCAACATCTGTGAACATTTTTTCACTGGTGGATGCTCGCATACTTCTGTCTAGTTCTACCTTAGTGTCGGCCAATCTACAGAGACAAACAACATCACTTCAGTGCCACAACACAATACTTACTTTCGCTTCAAGTCTCTGTTTTCTGTATCCAGGTAATCGCGGTCGCCAGAAAGGCATCGCACATTGCTATTTAACTCTAGTCTAGTTTCCTGTAGCCTGAAAACATGGAGGTAGCCCACAAGGAAATCAGTGACCGTTGAAACATTACCAATATGCTGATGAATTTACCTTGACAAATTCCAATATATGATTTTAGACAATTTTTACAAAATTGAAAATAAAATTTTCTAAACTGTAACGTGGCACAATATATGCATACTTTACACAGGTTTGGATATTGTCATTAACATTAGTTAAAATATCTCTATACCATAGGATCTTGAAAGTTTTCATTAAATTTCAAAAAGAATATATTTCTGTGACTTTCCTCTACAGCTTTTCTGCTCTTTTCATATGTCATGGGTGTTAAACTCTTTGACTGGCATTAACTTCTGTCACCTGGTTATCAGGGGAGGTAACTCTCTCAGTCATGTAAACCACTAGAAACTTCACAGTCAAATAACATTTTTTACAGTAACTTACTGATAATACAGGTCTTATTCACAGCTGAGAATTTAAAAAACTGATATGATTTGTGTATATATATGGTGATGGCATTTAGCTCTTTTAGCATTTACTCATATATAACAAAATCCATGAAATTCCATCAATCATAGGAAACGTCTCATCCCTGAATATATACGATTAAACTAAGTTCCAAGTATATAATTAAGTTTGAGATTGTCCACTCACTCGTCCCTGAGGTCTTGATTCTCTGTCTTCATAGACTCGAGGTCCCGCTCAAGGTCATCCATGGACTTCTCGTACATGTCCTGGAGGTCATTGATCTCACGGTCCTTGGCAGAGGCTTCAGCTAGCACAGACAGACTGGTGTCAGCAGTCACGCTGCCGCCAGATGTGAAGAAGTTCTGGCCCAACCAAGGCAGGAGACGAGACTTGATGATGTTAGCGCCGCCGTACATTCCTCCTGGGAGACAAATACATTGTAATTAATGCTTTGGGGCTGAATTAAACATTAGGCATGTAGTTTGAACATAAGGTACATTTCCTTGTTCAACTTATGATTTTCATTTCAAGCAGCCACACCAACATCTGGAGGTGAGCTCAAAGCCTTCTTATTGTGTTTCTGGATTGAAGTCGCTGAGCGAAGAGATGTTACCAGTTTACTGTCGACAGACTTGAGTGAGTGAGTTTATTTGTATGTCACACTCAGCAATATTCCAGCTATATGGTGGCGGTCTGTAAACAATCAAGTCTAGACCATACAATCCAGTGATAAAAAGCAAAAGCATCAATCTGTCAACCAAGTCAGCAAGCCTGACCACCCGATCCCGTTAGTCGCCTCTTATGACAAGCATGGGTTACTGAAGATCAATTCCAACCCAGATCGGGTCGACAGACTTGAAGAGATTTATGCAAGAGATTTAACCTGTATCACAAATTGGCTGGACACATATACATGTATATGCTTATATAGGATTTCACACAGGGAAAATGGTTTGGGGGTGGGGAGGTGGGGGGTTGGAGGTTTTTATCCAAAATTTGGCACTTGTTCAAATATATTAGTTTCTCAGTATGTGACTTTAGAATGTGACAAAGTTATCACATGACTATGCACATGTGGGTTGATAGTGCCCAAAGTCACTACTGAGGTTAGAGTATATGCCATAAAAAGGAAATGTCTAATTTTTCATGAAACAAGCATGAATGGTTGATCAGAGAATACTGTAATGATACCATCAAAGAGAGAACCTAAGATACAATAAAAATTTTAATTCTGAAAGTCTAATTTGCCAGCAGAACTGCTGTACTGCAAATCATCATTAACGGTTTTACATATGAACCTTATATTTGCTATCACATATCACACAATGCTTGTTCTGTAAAACATTATTGATGATTACTTGAATAATGTTTATGCCACGGATATACTATTAATCTATACAAATTTAATCTCACATACTTTCAGTCAAGCAAGAATTGATTGAATTAACCTTTGCGAAAACTGTACAATGTGTATAGGCTTTGTGCTCACATAGTTCTACTCTAAGGAATTTTTGGATGAGAGAAAAATGGCAGAACCAAAGTGAGAAACCCTCCTGGCACTCACAGAATATTTTCTTTATACACCTTAGAATTTAAATGTTTTAAAAGTTTTTTAACTGAAATGTCATTTGCTCTGAGTGAGATTACAAGCAGTTCTAATGTAGAAAGTGTGCTCCTTTCATAAAGATTGAAAATATCTCTTTGAGGTTAAGATCACAGGTTTGTTTCATGAATTCATAATGGCATTATTCGCGAAATGTGTGTGGCCAGTTCCTGTGTGTGAAAAAGACATTTGGTACTCATGCAGAAGAAATCATAAAGCTTCCTCACCATCGGATGCACAGACGCTGAGAAGCTTGAAGAGCTGGCCCTGGACCTTAGCATTGAGCTCGATGATCTCGCAGCCTCGGGCAACATTCTGGTCACAGGTGTTGATCTAAAACATAGAAGATGTTGTACGTCAAACTAACAAATAAACTACCAGAAAAGATGATTTCTCTGAATTCCTACAAAAAGATAACATATATTTGATGCATTAAGCACCCTGAACAGTCCATATCTTCTTGTGCATATTACAGATTTTATTCAGAAAACCGAAACCTAGAAACGTCATGAAGCGGAACCCCTATTCAGCAATCCAGCTCAAAGACTAGCTTTAGTTACCTATATAAACCTGAGACTTTAGTCATTTGTCCAAAGCCTGATTCTGATAAATTATGTTGGTCTTGTAATCTTATCAAAAAATATTCCAAAAAAGTAACACCAAAATCCAGAGACAAGGATGCCAACAGCAAAGTTTCGTTAAGTTCGGACTCCACAGTTATTGGCACAGACATATTGTCTATAATTTTGCATGAATTCTCAAACACCCATCCAACCTTATCATTACGCTTTTGTTTGTCACAACAAAACTGTATTTTTGTTGCAGAAAGCAAAACATTCACATTTTAGATCTGACTAGGTTCACTTGCTGAAAATGTCTCTGCAAAATTCTTACCAGTACACATGTATAGGAGATTTGTGTTTTAGCATGTAAAATAGGGGTTACAATGAAACACCTGCCAAATAATCAGAAAACTAACTCTGGCTAGCAGGTTCTCAGGTACTGTTTGTTTTATTTGTTTGTTGTTTAACACCACACAGAGAATACTCCAGCAATATGGCGGCAGTCTGTAAAAAATTGTCCAGATTGTCCAGCAGGCGCGTAGCAAGCCAATTCTTTCGTGTAAGCCCTATAGGTGGCAAGGCTTAAAATTTTTATAGTATTGAGGGCTTGCTCAACCCTTTTTAGCAACAATCATGTGTAAGCCCGGGCTTTTTTCATAATGGTAGCCACGCCCCTGTCCAGTGATCAACAGCATGAGCATCAAACTACGCAACTGGGATACGATGACATCTCAGATACTGAGAGTCAACCAGTTTTCTGTTCCAACCTTGGATGCCTTCCCACCAGTAACATCATCATGACTGAGCTAGCATCACTAGTCATCAACTACTTCCTTCACAGTAGTAATCCATCTACCTCACCTTGTAGTTCTGCAAACCATTTTTCAAAAATAATTTGGTGTCAGTTTCGATTATCAATATTAATCATTAAAACATAATTCAGACTTTATCGCTGTAATTTCCTTTTGAAAAATTAATCTGCAGTAAACATTACCAACAATGATGATTTGTAAACGTAGACCCGACTCGTCCATTGCGGCACAATGAGAAACGTGTCAAGTAATAAACTAAAATCAATATTCTTCTCCGTCCTAAAAACAGCATCAAATATTGAAGGGTTTTTATTATTCTTATTCATTAGCTTATTTTGAAATCAATAGCCTCAGGAAAAATAAACTTTGTATCCAATCAATAATGTAGGCCATCTCCTTCCCTGACTGGAAGATCAATCCATGGAGGAAAAAGGTTATACCATCATCTCTGGCAGGAGGCTGATAGCCTCACAAGGAAGCCAGATTGATTAAAGCCCAGTTCTGGGGGAGTCTTCATTAGATGTAGTTAGACTCTGAAGCTGGGATGGAATAAAGAACAAAATCAAGGTATAATATGTAAAGCGTTCCACTGTTCATGACATAAAGCATCTTACCTGGGTGTAGTGTGTTACTCTGTTTATGATATGAAGCATCATGAACTATACTACTCAACATTTCATAGGGATATTCCTCCTCCTCCATTGGGTTTTACGCTACTTTTAGCAATATTCCAGCAATATCACGTCGGGGGGCACCAGGTATGGGCTTCACATATTGTACCCATGAGGGGAATCGAACCCGAGATTTCGGCATGACAAGCGAACCTTTAACCACTAGGCTACCCCACCGCCCAAAATAGGGATATTCTTTGTGTAGGGTACACAATTAAAGTGCATCAGTTGCTGTCCTCTAGTTATGGTATAATATGGAACTTGTTGCACTGTCCATGGTACAAAGCATCATGAACTATACTACTCAACATTTCATAGGGATATTCTTAGTGTGGGAAACACAATTCAAACACACAATTCTGTCCTCTAGTTCTGTAATAGCCCAGTATCTCTCTCAAATGTTCAGTTGCATATTTTGCAGTAAATAGGCCATCTTATTTTGATTCTTGCTATTCTTTAATAATCAACAAAGGATATGGATAAAATGTTAATAAGTAACAGTTTGTCAACCATCTTATATACAGATAATTAAAACAATTTGTACCATCAATAAATACAACACTGTATCAAGCCTTGTATTGAGTATTTCCCTTTAATAGCTATTAACACACATCGCTGCAGTCTCAGCTACCACATTCATTGATTTTCATCTTTTGTTTCACAAGTATATTTTTAAAAACCCTTGTAAGTAGCTTGGATGATTATATAAATATTTAACAATAAAACTATGAAACATTTATCATGCAGCAAGAAAATATACAAATTTATCCTCAATTTTCAACATTCTTCACCAACTCAACAAAAGGACATGGAAAACCAGGAATTCATAGAAACTAATAGTCAAATAAACTCATCCTACTTAAAAACCTGATATATTCTTCAACAACAATATATCCCTCGCCTAACAACCTGCTTGTTGATAGTGTGTAGATGATCCTCTCAGCGTGAGACTCGTGATATTGATATGATATTGATATGATGTTGATATAAGCCTGACAAGTCCACTAATGAGGTGGAATAAGAACACTCAGCATGGTGGATAATTCAATATTCCCTACAGGGTTGATTTCACACAATATGCTATGTTATATCAACCAGTCAATGATTAACAGTATTGACGTTCATAACACAGTGCTGCCTTTATCAACTGACCTGCATGCTCAAGTCATGCTCTAGATCATGTCGTAAAGACCTACTATTGATTTTATTTGTCAGACTTGTTCATGAAAAATGTGTAATGCATGTCTTCAAACTGACTAAAAACATTATTTTAATGAATCACAGAAGCATACTTCTAGTTTATATAGAAGAAAGAAATGCTGAACACATTAAGTACATTAATTTGTAATTAGTTACAACTTGTATAACAACTGAATACTCTGGTACATGAGTTGAGTGGGAGGATGAGAGGTGAGGTGAGGTGAAATTGGGTTTAGTGTCATGCTTGAGAATATTTTAGTGTGCTCATATGAATATTTGGCTCATATGACGACGTGCATGCGTGTGTATGTGTATGTGCGGCTGCTTGTACTAGCCCAGACTGAAGCTGGTTTTATAGTGCTAGCCCACTGAGATACCATGCCGCAGTGAAGCATGAATACCCCACTCAGACACATTATACTGACTCCGAGCCGACCAGTCCTTGTGGTACCCATTAATGCCGAGCGCCAGGCAGGGACCAACAAGTACCATATTTTAACGTCTTTTGGTATGACGCTGTCGGGGATCAAACCAAGAACCTTCAGCTCTCAGGGGGATCTAAACCTGTGGGAGGATGAGAATGGAATTGAAGACATTACAGCAGCTGAGCCTCAAGACCATCCGCATATCTGCATAAAAGACACAAACAAATTCACTTTGACCAAACTTATTTGCTTACATACTAATATTCTTCAAAATGTAAATACCAAAGGTTTATTTGATTGTTTGTTATACACCACAGTGTAAAATTACGTAATGCTGGCTTTTCAGGTTGTTTGCCAGTGTGCTTCCATACAGATATTTACTTGCTGATCAAATACAGTGATCTCATGCACCCGGTAGAAGCGAACTACTGCAGTACAGATTGCACAAAGCCCTCTGTTCAGCTTATAGTGGCTATGAGATAGATGATTGTTCTGAGCATGCGTGATATGTGACCCACTTGACAAAACACATGATCAGAAGCAAATTACAAGTCACCACAAACATTGTAGGCAGAATTATTTTTTTTAAATGCCTTCTCACTGCTTGAATATTTTCCAAAGATTTGACTTGAGGGTGTGATAATTTATTGACTATGAAAAAGGAACATAAATACCTAATGAGCAAATAGTAAACTTCAAGACATAAACTGGAGCACTGTAGGATTAGCTTTAAAAACTACAAAGAGGGTATGTTCAGAAGTAGCTCACATTTCATCATTATTGGTTATAATTACCACATAAATAACTGAGCAATCTCCATTTACTATAGGTTGTATTTTCCTCTGTATTTTCCAGCGTATGTACAGTCAGGTTAAAAGAAGTATTTTTTGTTTTTTAAGAATCTAATTCAATAGTTTATTATAAATACATTTTTTGACAAGCTGATGAATGGGTTGTGTGATTCACTTACAGATCTAAATATGATAGAGCAGGTTGAGTCCCCTTGCACTCACTGATCAATCAGTGTCTATCAATACTGGTTAGTTTAAAATCACTCTAAACCAGTCACAGGACTGAGGCAGTAATGTCTTTATTTTCTAAAATTTAATTTAAATGGACTTTTAAAACAGTACAATACAGTTATTTTCCCACACTTTTCACACCAAAGAAATGCAACAGGGTATCCCCAAATACCCAAATAAAATTTGCAACATAAAACTTATATTCTGCAATTTTCGTGACATGACACGTTGGATTAAACGTAATAGTGAATAAAATACGATTCGTTTACAACAAACGTTTTCGATTATCTTCTTTTCAGAAATCCTTTTTAATTTGTGGTCGCGCTGATATTTGCCAATACAAATATACAAATTTAAAGTCAGTTAAATATGACATATCGAAGATAAGAAGAACAGTTTATACTGGCTCCTAATATGAAATACATTCCACTGTCAATGAAGTAAATCAGGTAAATTCAGGAAAATTTATGTTATTTATGTTTGCTTTGGTCTTAACCTCTGTATGTTTCAAAATATCAAAATATGTTTGGATAAATATTGTTCATTTTTCTATCTAGTATTAATGTGCAAAATATTGGTGCAGCTGACCCATATTTAATGACACACCAATTGTTGGAAATCAACCACCCTCTTTACAATG